TAAGGCCTTATTGAAACCTCCATTGAGTCGCTAAACTTTTATATGGATAGTTTATGCTTACAGCTTGAACAATTCAATTACTCATTAATTGTCACATTTCATTCATAAATGTTTGATAGTAACCTCAAAATTTTGATTTATAAGCCTAAAAAGTACAAATTTTGAGGGAGTGAGAGGTATAAATGGACCCAAAGCGATCTTGTAAAGAAACAAAAAGATACATTAGTGTTGTTCATCATCTCAGAATCATCTGTTGTATCAATATTCAACTGTTTGTATGCAGATTAGATGAATATTTAATCATTTATTGGAGAATTTATTGCTCTACACTATATTCTTCCATGATGCGGTGTGACTTGTATTTTTGGACAAAATTTTGCACAAATCGCTGTAGATTTCGTTTTATTTTATACTTAATAGGCCACTACACGGTTAGTTCGGCCATATTGAATAGGTGCAGATTTTTTGAAAGAGATGGAAATAGTATGATAGTACGGGAAATCCTATGCATGTTTCCAAGCAACTGCTCTGCTTTAATGATGTTTTTTCCCGTATTTTTCATACTATTTTTACCTCCATTATGAAAATATGCCCCCTATCCAATATGGCCGAACTAACCGTGAAGGGGCCTATTTCTCTCAAACTATTAAGCTGATTATAACAAAACTTGGCAGTAATGCTTGTTAATTTAGTGATCGAAGTGAGTGAAATATAACTACTAAATTATTCGGATTATGAAGCACCTAATATGCATTTTATATGGGACAAAATGACACAAAATGGCAGCTTCAGATCCTACATCACTAAAGTCTTGTGATGTCTTACTTAATTGTATATGAATGGTGTTAAAAATATATTTCGATTTGACTGTTGTAATGTTCTTCTTGACATTTTGTCTCCGTTGAAGTATGTGAACTACTTATTTCTATGTGCAAAAAATATTGATCCCCCCACATTGAATTTATAAAAAAAATTGAACCCCCCTTTTCCACATACAGAAAAAAACTTGATCCCCCCTGCATTTTGCCCAGCCCCCCCTCCCAGATAAAAAATGATAAGTCCCTAAATTGGGTGTACGTCAACACGACAGCAACAAACAAGAGTTGACACACTCAAATATCTTGCCTGCTACAATTTTGGATTTGTTATAATTCTTCTATATGTAAATTCTGTTATTATTAAGATGGAAATGAACTTTTAAACTGAGGCCAAGGTCATATGATGCAGTGAAGTCTTGTTTTAAATTTTTTTAATCGACCATGTTAGCGGCTAAAAATTGTTTATGTATAGGCCCTATCTTTCTTAGGTACAGACATTATCCCAAATTTCAACTGACTGATTGGGAATAAAATTTATTCATGATATTGGTTTATATGAAATATGTCAGACATGGGCCTATATTTACTCCTTACAACATCACAGACTGGATATTGGTGACCTGACCACAGATTCTGAGGAGCAAACCAAATTCTGAAACGTAATCCAACTACTCGACCGTGAAAATTAGGTCAACGCCATATTGCATGTGTCTGACAGATATGGTGTTTTTTTTAACAAATTCATATTTCAAATTTTATTGACCTGTCATACATACTATTGTACAGCTGAATAGACCTAAACGGTATTCAGAACATCTACTGACCATTCGGGCGTGACCATATATCAAGTAGAAATATATCAATTTTCACTACCATTCCAAATACCAAACATTGTTGAATTATCCTGTAAACGGCTACCGAGGAACAAATTTTATCCTGAAAACTAATCTAAGTACTGGAGCATGAAATGAGGTCAAAGCCAAATGTCAATTATACAAAACTTCTCTAAACCAATCAAGATGCATTTCATACCAAAATTCTTGACCCATCATAATTTGCGAGAAAACAGAACTATTTTAAAATCAAATTATCATACCATAATAACATTAGCGGTACCATTTTTACTGCACAAGATGCGTATTTCGATAATAAATGTCTCTTCAGTAATGCTCGAAGCCAAAATATTTGAAATTCAAAAATAAATACAAACCTTAAAGATTTGATAAAAAAAAAAACCCTTAAAGGTCCAAAAGAATAGCTAAAACTTGACAAGTAATCACAGCTCTGCACCAGGGAGATACATTCCTTAATTTTAAAAGATTTTCATAATTCATTTTATAACAGCAAATTTCAATAAAACAGTATTTAACTGATCCGCCTGGTTGTTAAGACATGACAAACATCACAAATATCAATCAAATCACGGCTAAATTTCATTAAGACCCAACGAAACACCACAGGGTAGTTATGTCAACAATACTTGGAAATATTAAGACGACATATTCTCTGTAACAATTTTTATAAACACATCTTCAAAAGTGAACGTTGTCTTCTTGTAAACATTTGTTCTCATAATTTCTAATGGAAATTCCAACACAAATATTTATAACAAACGGGACTTTTCTTTCATATTGTTAATTTTCTTTCCTTGATTGAGATGTTCCGTTAACTATTTTAATGAAGTTTACATTGCTCTGTTGGTTCATCAAATGAGTGTTTGCAGTAATGTCTAGTATTTCAATCCAGTATTTTATTCAAAAGCACTTTTATGCCTATATAGGAATTTGGCTCCAACATGGTCAAATCCGGCCTGCGACCTAGGGGTGGGGGTTAACGGGCGACCCTGTGACATGACGTCTCATGTCAAAAGAACCTGACCTTTAACACGGGTTTATTGTTAAACATTAACCGGACGGGTGGAATTTGCTTTAAAACGACCTGGTGACTGGAGACAATTGTTTAAATGTGACCTTGTGACCTTACGGGTACCCTACTGGAGCCCCATAGGACAATGGCTTACAACAAACACAAACAACCGAAAAAATACATATACATCATTCTATTATATTCAAGTTATATAATATTCAAATATTTTCAAGGACTCCATGTCCTCAGTCAGTCTAATTTGTTAGTATCCCGTATTGTTTCAGAATGAAGAATTGCTTTAACACATGTATAAATAATCAATGTAATATTTAAAGGTATTTTTCTTTTCTTGATTGTTCCTTCTTTATAAATTGCGGGCGGAAAGATCTATGACATCACAACGCATGCACACAATAGATCTCAATGATTTTTTTCTATTTTCATTCCAGTTTCTATTGCTAAACAGCTAGTACGTTTATGAATTAATTATTCAAAGTTCGGGTATAAGAAAGTATAATTCAAGGTTAGGTATGTATAGTCCAAGGCTAATTAGACCTAATTCAACGTAATACCTTTTATTTACTTTGCACAATATGTGAAATAATATGATATGAACATTTTTTCGGACTCCGAACCTACCCATCTTCGCAAGCCATGGGTTACGATCCAGTCCCCTTCTCTCTGGAGAGGAGGGGACTGGAGCTTAACTCTTGGCTAGCGAAGATGAGCCTACCAGTCTTTGCACTATTTTAAATGTCACGTACTTAACGGAGAACAGCAAATATAAATTGTAAAGTCTTTTGTTTGATTTAAAGGTATATATAGCTCCATCAAGGTGGACAGGCCCCTGCCCCCTCTAAATCCACCTCTGTATAAAGTGTTTGAATTTGACAAAAAGCAGGATAAAATACTTTTCAAAATGTTCAAAACCGTCCAAGCCCCACTCTTCAAATGAAATGGCCCTCCAGTTTGCTTGTTTATGAATTTTGCATCTACAGTTGATCCCTTATTGCTGTCAAGAAAATATTTAAACAAAAAGTTTTAAAATATAATTTCAAGGCAAAAAATCCAGTTTAGTCAATTGACAATTTCATTCACACGACTCATTTTATTCCTCTTGCCCCGATGATCACTTTTTTGTTTTGCCTTTTCTACCTACCTTACACAATTTTTAGGATAAATGCTAAAATTAGTAAAACAATCATCATTTAAAGACTATCACTCATAAAAGTAGTCAATTATTCTTATGTTTGAATATCCAGTTTTCATATCAATTTTCTATTCACCTATCTATTACAGTCTGCCAAATAAAAGGCAGCAGAGTTTAAATAGGTAAGATATTGGCTTTGTTATAAAAAAAAAGGCATGACTCCTGTAAAGTTTCAGTTATACTGGAATGAAGTAGATATTGTATGACTGACCATTTCTGTCTATATGTTATTGTTTTGCAAAAAAGAAGACAAAAACACGGAAATTGTTAAAAACATAGTCAATTAGGGGTAATTACTTTTGTAAGGAGTCAGTTGATAGTTTCACTTATACTGGCATTTTTTTATATCTTGTATTGACTTTGCCTATCCTTTTTTACTACCTTAGGGAATTAATTGATGGTTTCAAATATATTGGCATCTTTGTAAATTGTGTAGTGCTAATCATTGGCTTTACTTTGTAAATCAGGTATTACAAATAATTTTTGCTGCAAATGACATTTACAATTCATAAGTTTTTTCGTTTCTCGTTTTTTATATAGATTAGACCGTTGGTTTTCCTGTTTGAATGGTTTTACATTTTTGGGGCCCTTTATAGCTTGCTGTTCTGTGTAAGCCAAAGCTCCGTGTTGAAGGCCGTACTTTAACCTATAATGGTTTACTTTTACAAATTGTGACTTGGATGGAGAGTTGTCTCATTGGCACTCATACCAAATCTTCATATATCTACTTATCTATTATAGTTTTTGGGATAGAGTACAAACAAGATTGCCATTAAATGGCAACAACTTATATTAGGTATCATCCATTTATTTATGAGGGGTTAGGAAAGCAGGTACATCTCAATATGATTTTTCCCCCTGACAGATCTTCTTTATCTGTTGTGATTTTCAAAATTTAAGACATTTACTTTTTTGTACTTTTTTTGACTGACAAAAAAAAAACATAAACTGTATACTAGATACCCTAAGAATCATTCATCCAGATTTGTTGAAATTGGTCTAGTGCTTTCTGAGAAGTAAATAAAATTACAGTGACAGACCCAGAGTGATGGCAATTCCAATAGCAATGGGCCAGGTGAGCTTAAAAGAGGGGGAAAATAGCCTGATTAATTGTTTAGAATTTTATTCTAGTTTTTAATGTGATAACAACATGATTATAACAAAATACAGTGACAAATGACCAATGTTTTTCATGTTTAAGTAATAAGTAATCATAATTAATGATAAACAAGGCTGATTTTTCTGCAACATCATCTTCAAAACTACTATTAATAAGTCAATATTTTCTTTTTTTTTGGCAAATCAATAATCTATGCCATTCATTCAAATTTTTTTCATATTCAGAATCTAAGATACCATGAAAGAACTTTTATTTGTGAATGCTAATATCATGGAATGCTATCAAATCTATGGTTTCTGCATTTTTTATAATTTTTAGGCTTGGTATAATACCAATGTAACTTTCGTATAAAATTGGCGTTTCCTTATCAGAATGTTAGTGAAGCAGAAATTTCATACAAAAATATGAAATAAAAACTTTCAATTAGCTGATTATGTTTGTTCTAATATGATAAGAATTTGTATTTAATTTCCGATATACTGTGGATTCATTATTTTTCGTTGGATACCAATTTTCGTGGATTTCGCGGGTACAGGTGAACCACGAAATTAAATGTTCAACGAATAACAAATGTTCTATAGGCTTGTATGCAGACTTCAGCAAAACCACGAAATTAAATATCCACGAACATGTAAGTTTTCCTTAATCCACGAAAATTGGTACCCATGAAAATAAATGAATCCACAGTAGCGTACAAAAACAAAAAATGTCTGCAATTCTTCAAGTTCAATTAAGCGTGCAGTATCATTTTATAAGTGAGCCATCCAAACATGATAATGAAATGAATTTTATTTACTGCAATGAAGCTGATTGTTTCTTTAAATTAATGGAAATTGTAATGATATCAAGCAAACGCTATGCAAATGAAATGCACAGATCTTTGTTTTGGTCGTACTATAATTAAATGAAATGTATATGATGGTATTTACAGTTTACATTTTTAGCATTATCTATAACAGATATGGATTAAAAATACTGTGACAATGAACTGTATCATCTTATGTGATTTTAGGATTTCATTTTGAATAAGCCATTTGTCAACTCCAAAGATTTGACCTTCAATGGTATAGTATCATTAAAATTTAATTTCTTTCATACCTACGACGATACTTTTTTTCTTCAGACAGGGTGAGAATTTAAATAATTCAAGCATAAAAATCAGTAATAGATTTTAAACTGTTAACCACTTAATTTTATAATTTTATGTTATATACATGCAAAGGTGTTAAAATGTTTTATCAAACCTTTCCACTATAAAAATAAGTAAAACCTTATGAAAAATTATAGAATTTAAATTCAGTTGAAATGTTTATTCAAAGTCAGATAGGGGTGAGCATCCACTATCTTACTTTATTTTGTTGTTTTGAAATGAAACCATAAGTCAGTATATACTATTATAATCTATTACAATGCACTACCTTTCTATCTACTGTACTCCATGTAAATAAAAAATGTCAAATAAAATATACATCAATATAACACTTGTCATAAAAACTCTTTTGTATTTACAATGTTACACATTTACAAATAAGGCCATATTTTACAAACATGATCACATGTACTTTTGCCATTTAAACAAAACACAACATAAAATGTTACATTTTACATGTATAATTCCAAACCTGATTAAAACTAGATTCTCAATTACTCCTGTTTAATGTCCAATATGTAGCATGAAGATTTGACAAAACCTTGTCACAGGCAACTTTCAGAAAATAAAAGATACATAGAAGACATATAACAAAAATCCATACAGGAAAACCACTGAACGTAATATCATAATATCTTTCATTTGCCTGTTACTATTAAAAAAACAAGAGTGCAGAAACCAAATATAAAATAAAAGTAACACCAATCTGTTGACCAGTATTCATGAACATTATCCCATATTTGGATTCATCAAATTTTCATGCAACATATGTCATCAGAAACAAGAGGCAATGTTTTAATCAGATAATGATTAATATAAATCTGAACAATTGCATAAATAAACCAGGTGGGTTTTTTTTAACCGAAAATAAATAAGTGATTTATCATTATGATATAAAGTGTTTTACAACTGTATTTAATGAGTTAAATAATGAAATCACAAACATTTTCCTTATGATTCAATTTTTGAGTTCTAATCTAGGTAAGTGCTAGGAAAATTGCGATCATATTTAACAATATTAATTTTTTTTTAGAATAAAGGTCGAAAACTGCTTATCATGATTCTCAGCATGTTCCATTGTTCATTAAATATTTTGTGTACATAAAATATGTATTGTTTGATAAAATTTATTAAAATATTTGAATTATCGTATTCTTTCTTACCTTTATTGTAAAATTATAAAAGGTTCTGAATCAGAATGTACTGCTGATACGAAATTAACATTTTTCTCCTCTAATGAATATGCTACTATAGTTTTATTGTAAAAAATCGTTTTTAAAAGGTACTAAAATGTAAAATCAACCTAAATAGCAGTTCAATACATTTGAAAGGTTTAAAGAACACTGAACCAAAGATCCAAATCAGAAATTTAGGAACACTAGTGCTCCAATTTCACCAAATATAATGTTTTGACAAGATACTTCTTCAGAAATGGACAAGTATGTCTAAAAATAAAGCACACTTAATAAACATTCTTTTTTCTCTTTCTCCCAAACCAATGGTCAATATTTAAATTAATTTGCAACTTTGAATATAGTCATGTGAAGAATGATTTTATGGGGTATTCTTCACAATAATATTGCATGTTTTCCCCTAACAAAACAACCAAATAACCAGAAAACTAGAAATAAGTTATATTACAATGAAATAATATATAAATAATTCAAAACATCTGATATGAATATTTATAGTACATAGTTATGGGATTATAATGTCCCATTTTTCTACCTCATTTTTTCTTCTTTTGAGACAGACAGGATTTGTGATCATCATCTCTCAAGAATGCTAACTGGTACAAACATTGCATGAAATTTTGCCCATCAAAGCACTGTATATGCTGTTACAATGGCCATACAACATGTAGGACAGTGAAAAAGAACAAATCAGTTCCATCAACCAATATGATTATAGATTGGAATTCTTTTCACTGTGTCAGTTTAATTTTGCTTTGCAATTCTGGAATAACTGTCAAAAACCTCCTAAAAGATTGAAAATTATTTTCTCATGGTTATCAATAATAGATACCATGTGTTAAATTGTCTATTGAAAGGAAGTTCTGACACGCCCCCTTTTTGATAGTTTACAATCAAATGAGATAAAATGAGACAAGCAATAATTAGGCACTATGAACCTGTTCCAGAGATGTCTGGGATGATGCCATGCTGCTGTAATTGTGTCCGTAAAATTTGATTCTCACTTTTCAGTTCTTCACACTGTTGTCGGAGAAGTTCAAGATCTACTTGTAAACGTTCAGATTCTTTTAAATTTTCAGCCATTCTAGCATTTGATGTTCTTAATTCAGTAATATAATCACAAGCTTTTGATAAAATTCCTCCTTTACTCTGAAATAATAAAGACTATAAATAAATTTTATGTCCACTGAATGAATTTCTGAAAAGTGGCAACAATTTGAGGTAGGCACCAAACAACAAAGTTCACCAAATGTTTAATTAGCTCATATGAACCCTATCTCATGACATTTTGAATTTGATTTTTTACAAAATATATTTTTTACCTTTCAGTTGATATCAGATTTAAACAAGAATGGGTCTGTAGTACATGGATGCCCCACTCGCACTATCACTTTCTATGTTCAGTGGACCGTGAAATTGGGGTCAAAACTCTTAATTTGGCATTAAAATTAGAAAGATCATATCATAGGGAACATGTGTACTAAGTTTCAAGTTGATTGGACCAACTTCATCAAGAACTACTTTGACCAAAAACTTTAACCTGAAGCGGGACAGACAGATGGACGAATGAACTGATGCACAGACCAGAAAACATAATGCCCTACTACTATCGTAGGTGGGGCATAAAAATAATTAAACCAACATAACAGGTGCAGTTAAAGGAGCAGGAACTGCTTATTCTTTTGGAGCACCACAGTTCAGCTCATTTTTGTGGGGTACATTTTGCTCAATCATTAATATTCTGTGAAGTGTTGTGTGGACTCTTTACCTTTTTTTCTTATGTTCATTATGTTGTCTGTCAATATTTCTTATGATTTACAATTGCACCCTTTGTTTCTTCTTACATCCTTTTAATATCAGTAAACCAAGCCAAGCAAATAAAGGACCAACAAGTTACTTTCCCAAATGATAATGTCCTTTTTATAATGTTTTACTGTAGATGCATTCAATTAAAGGTTTGAATGTCATTTGTTTGTGCAAGGTTTGCAAATTCTAAAACATGCTCAGGAGCTTGTAGTTGTCGTTAGTTCATGTCTGTCATTTTTTTTTTCGTAAATTAGGCCATTAGTTTTCTAGTTTGAATTGCTTCACATTTTTCATGTCGAAGCCTTTTCTAGCCAACTATTCAGTATAAGTTTTTCCCATTGTTGAAGGCTGTACACTACAGTTGCCTATAATTGCTTAAATCCACTTCATTTGAGCTTTGGTGGATACTTGTCTCATTGGCAATCATACCACATCTCCTTAATTTTATCTTGAAGCAGTTCTTTCTCTCTCCTCAGTCATGTTACTTAACATCATTATGCATACTGCATAATGATAACAGTTGAAAACATAAAACCAGTGCAGTTTTTTTTCTTCAAATGGCATGGTGACAAACAAGTGCATATGGTTGTGTCATTAGGCCAAAAAAAATATTATTTTTGTGTTTTCAATTAACATGACCAGAGAAAAGGTGTTGTAAGGCATCATCTTACATGTTATATTTAGCAGAAGTTTTATTTTGCTTGCTTTTATATAAATCCTGAATGAACTACTACTGCTTCAGAAAGAAAGCAGTCTAAGGAATATTTTTTTGATTTTTTAGAATTTGTTTGTGCAAGGTTTGCAAATTCTAAGACAAAGGAAGTGATGGCTTCATGATGGAATTTAAGGAATGCATTTTTTACATTTAGATTTAAGCACTTATCCTTAGAGTTGTTATACAAATGCATGTTGACCAAAAGTTTACAAGTTGAAAAAAAAAAAAAGAATTTGTCTTTAATTTCATAATTCATTCTGAAATACCACCTGAATAAAGACCCTTGAAAGTCCAAATATTAGGCCTGCTTCTTTTTATATTTTGAGTATTGTGGATAGCATTCTCTATCATTGTGTCCATGTGTGATGCTAAAATGATGCCTTCTTTTACTTTAGGGTTAGGGTTCATTTATAGTTAGGGTTACTGTAGGTTAGGGTATGGTTTTAGGATAATGGCAAGTATTAGGGTTAGGTTTAAATGTAGGTTAAGGGGTTATGGTTAGTATAGTATAGCTCTATATGGGGGGAACCCCTAAGGTAAAAGGAGGTCAAAAGATTGCCTTTATGTTATACATATCAGGCCATTCATTAGAGGCGGTACCCATGACTTTTACCCTCCTATGCTATTGACAAGTACCTCCTAAATGTAGGGATTTTTATATTAAGTATTCATGGAATAAATTAAAAAGTACCACCTACAAACGGGAAAGGTACCAGTCAACATGAAAGATAATGAAACCTCTGACATATGATCTTGGTTTAAAGGATGGTCAGTTACCTAAATTACACATTTTTTTGTTTGGCCTTATATAGATTTTGTAGGAGACAATACGAACAGTGAATTCATTTTAATTAATTGTTTCCCAATTTTTGTGATTTATAATATGTAGAGAAAAGTCATGAAATTACCCAAATTGACTAAATTATAGCTCTGATCATCAGGTTCATAAGATCAAACAATTAAATTATGTATAAACTTTTCTATCTCAAAAACACTTTTAAAACCATAAAAATTTGTAGAAATAAATTAAAATGAATTCATATTAAGTGCAAGATATTTGTAATAATTTTCTGCCTACTTTATTGGTTACCTGTCCTTGTTTTGTATGGTCTGAGGAACAATCTGGTACGACTTTAGATAACTGAACTATCCAGTTATTTATTTTATCTCTCCTTCGTCGTTCAACTGAAATTAAAACATATAGAATAATTCATGAATATAAATTCCTTCAAAAATACACATTCTCACTTGTTAGTCAATATAGGCTTCATGGTCCTTGGAGTAATAACTCATAATGTGAAGATGTTCTCATATTTTCTCATTTGTACTTTTGGTTTGTTTTTTAATATACAGAAAAGCTTATTAGGAAGACATGTAAATTGATGGATGCCAAGCTTTCTAGTGGAGAAGTGCATTTAAAAAATATGAAGCCCGGGCCTGAACATGCCTCACTGTATGAAAGAACTTTATTCAAAGTTTTACAATAATACCTGAATATAGTCAAGGAGGTTAAAATATCTTATAAAAACCTTTCATGATAAGCAATGTCTATATTTAAAATGAATGGCAATATAACAAGAGGATCATTAGAAAAGGGATGGCTGTTTAAAGTCCAGTGACAAATTAATGCATAATCAGGAAGAGAACTTGTTAATGCAATATGAATGTGAATTCTGCTTTCTACTAGACTGACATGCTGAGCAAGATTTTTAACATGCTAGTTCACAAGGTAACGGTCCGAAGGAAGACATGTTACCTTACTGGGACACACTATTTTGACCCTGAGCCGTTCAGTCTTTGCTTCAACTAAAGCTGCTTGCTTAGATGAATAAGTCTTTTATATCAGTAAGTATTAATTTCGTGTTCTTTGTTATTGAAGGTGGCAAAAAAACATGTAAAAAATGCCAACATAAACAAACCTTCATTATGAGTTGCCCTCCTTCGATCATCTCTACCTGACCTTGCACCTTCAACTTTAGGTGTGGTAAATCCTGTGCGAGGTGCAATATTTCTCTGTCCTTGGAGAACTTCTTGAGGTGACATCATCACATAAAATTGACCTATCATTGATATTGTATATAAGATAAAAAGCTTAATACCAGACGATGTCATTTAATTTCTAAGAAATGTTTACAAGTATGCTTTAATTGACAGTAAAGAATAAAAAATAAAAACATATAAAAAACGTTTTTATCCTTTTTTGCTTTGTATGCAGGAAACTGCTATCCTGGCATTTGTTTTTGCTTTTATTTCACATTTTCATTATCATGATTATATTAGTTAACATTGAATATATCTACAACAGCCAATTTACAGTTGACATCATTCTCTATTTATATGTAAATATTGTCTTTGAGGTAAATTCACTTAAGTCCTGGAGGTCAATTTCCAGGATTTGAGGAAAATCTGATGGTTTAAAGCTTGTGCAGAATATATCAGCAAGTATTTCTTAATGCATGCTCATACCAAATTTTACTCCTTTATTCACAAAACATCTACTAATTATAATTCTTTCATACCTCAATGAGATTTTCTACGGATGAGTTCTGGAACTGATAAACAAGTCCCAGTTTCGAAATAATCAAAGTCGAACTTATCATTTCAGCTTTTAAGTCTTAATAAAGTGAACTAAATCATATTAAATAATGGTTTTTAGACCTTTGATGAGGCTAAGGTTTAGAAAATGGTCAGACAAGACTAGTTTTTACGAATCAAGGACTCATCTTTAGTAAGAAACCTGTTCATAGTATATTTTTGTCTTTCTGTTAAATTTGTCATCAATTCTTTTTACCCCTAGGTGCTTCATGCTGCAAGCATCTGGATACGTACTTTTCATTTACTAAATGTATTCCTATGATTGTACTTTTCTTTCTACTACAAATATTTTTTTATGTTTAGTCTTACCTTGCCCAAGAGAACCATCCTGTGCCCATCCTCCTGTAAAGATAAATAACACCATTATAATACTCTCAACATGCTCAACCATAGAAAATTTCACAAACAATTGAATAAAAGATAGATTTATGAATACATACAAAGTTTTAAAACAAATTATCAAGACATGAGAACCATTAATATCCATTGAAATTCTGTAGAAAATGAACTTCTATTTGATGTAGATAAATTAACACCAAGTAAATAACACAATCTCTTTACCTGCAGATGTGACCTGCCCAGCCATGCCTGCTGTTGAGATTACCTCAGGTTGTGAAGCTTCAACACCTGTTCCGCTGACTGCAGGGAAATAGGTAAACTTTGTATCTTGTCCTTCAAGTGTGGGACTTCCTCCATTACTAAATGGACTTTGTATGACTGCCTAAATAAATATGTTAAATATAAAAGCTTAAACCTGAATTCTTAATTTACCATAAAATCTTAATATGATTAACAAACTGTTGACACAGAGATATGTCTTGCCCTGTGTGTGATTTTAGTAGTGTAATGCAAATGTTGAACTTTAAATGGCAAATATGTTAACTATGCAAAAATTTGAATTTGGATGAACCATGCATGAGTGACTAAGGGGCCAGGCCAAATAATCATCTACATGAAAATCAGATTTGCTAATGCTTATACAATAGTTGAACTGCATACCATATTTTGTTAACTTACAATAAAATGCTTCGCTGGGCGCAGCTTGATACGAACGCAGAGGTCGAACCCTGAACAGTTGGGGCAAGTATGGACACAACATTCAAGCTTGATACAGCTCTGAATTTGGATTGTGATTAAATATTTGACACAGCATAGGTTTCTGACACAGAAAGAATGTGGTCTAAGAACTTCAATTTTTTTAATTTACCTATTATGGTCCAATGTCCAAAATCAAAATACATGGTTAGATTCAGCATATCAAAGTACCCCATATATTCAATTTTTGTTGAAATCAAACAAAGTTTAATTTTGGACCCCAACTTGGACAAACTTGAAAACTGGTCCCATAATCAAAAATCTAAACACATGTTTAGATTTAGCATATCAAAGTACCCCAAGAATTCAATTTTTGTTAAAATCAAACTAAGTTTAATTTTGGACCCTTTGGACCTTAATGTAGACCAATTTAAAAAACGGGACCCAAAATTAAAAATCTAAAAACACATTTAGATTTGGCATATCAAAGAACCCCAATAATTCAATTTTTGTTAAAATCAAACTAAGTTTAATTTTGGACCCTTTGGACCTTAATGTAGACCAATTTAAATAAACTGCTTCGCTGAGCGCAGCTGGATACGCCCGCAGAGGTCCAACCCTGAACAGCTGGGGCAAAAATGGACACAATATTCAAGCTTGATACAGGTCTGAATTTGGATTGTAATTAAATATTTGACATATTATAGGTTTCTGAATAAATGTAGTCAAAGAACTTGAAATTGGTTATATGAATTGAATTTATATTCAATTAAAGATTTCTTGCTGTTGTGCAATACACTATGTTGTTGCGCAATACTTAGTAAATTTGTTGTCAGACTATTAACAAATAAAATTTATAAAATTCTAAAGGGAGCTTACATCAATAGATATAAACAATTCACCAAAGTTTCATAAGAATTGCTGAAAGAATTTTTGAGTTATTGTCTGAAAACTGGAAAGTCCCCCCTTTTTTAATGAATAAAACCCCATAACTTGGAAATGTAAAATCTAACACTTATAAAATTCTAAAGGGAGCTTACACCAATAGATATCAACAATTCATCAAAGTTTCATGAGAACTGCTGAAAGCATTTTTGAGTTATTGTCCCAAAACTGGAAAATCCCCCTTTTTTTTATGAATAAAACCCAGTAACTTGAAAACGTAAAATCTAAAATTTATAAAAATCAAAAGGAAGCTCATGTCAATAGATATAAACAATTAACTAAAATTTCTTGCAAGTTGGTGAAAGCATTCTTGAGTAATTGTCCGAAAATTGGAAAATCCCCCTTTTTTTAATGAATAAAACCCCATAACTCGGAAACGTTAAATCTAAAATTTATAAAAAACGAAAGGGAGCTCACGTCAATAGATATTAATAATTCACCAAAGTTTTATGCAAATTGGTTAAAGCGTTTTTGAGTTAATGTCCGACATGTTGACGACGGACGGACAGACGGACGGACGGACAGACGGACAAGGGTATACCATAATACGTCCCGTAAACGGGCGTATAAAAACGGGACCCAAAATTAAAAATCTAAAAACACATTTAGATTTGGCATATCAAAGAACCCCAATAATTCAATTTTTGATGAAATCAAACAAAGTTTAATTTTGGACCCTTTTGACCTCAATATGAACCAATTTGATAGCGGGCCCACAAATAAAAAATCTAAATACATGGTAAGATTCAGCATATCAAAGAACCCCATATATTCAATTTTTGTTGAAATCAAACAAAGTTTAATTTTGGACCCCAAATTGGACCAACTTGAAAACTGGGCCAAAAATCTAAAATCTAAATACATGTTTAGATTCAGCATATCAAAGAACCCCAAGAATTCAATTTTTGTTAAAATCAAACTAAGTTTAATTTTGGACCCTTTGGACCTTAATGTATACCAATTTAAAAAACGGGACCCAAAATTACAAATCTAAATACACGGTTAGATTTGGCATATCAAAGAACCCCAATAATTCAATTTTTGATGAAATCAAACAAAGTTTAATTTTGGACCCTTTTGACCTCAATATGAACCAATTTGATAGCAGGGTCCACAAATAAAAAATCTAAATACATGGTTAGATTCAGCATATCAAAGAACCCCACATATTCAATTTTTGTTGAAATCAAACAAAGTTTAATTTTGGACCCCAATTTGGACCAACTTGAAAACTGGGCCAAAAATCAAAAATCTAAATACATGTTTAGATTCAGCATATCAAAGAACCCCATATATTCAATTTTTGTTAAAATCAAACAAGTTTAATTTTGGACCCTTTGGACCTTAATGTAGACCAATTTGAAAACTGGACCCAAAATTAAAAATCTAAATACACGGTTAGATTCGGCATAACAAATAAATAAATGTGGTCAAAGATTTTACAAATCTAATGTGCCATACTGGTCTTCCTTTATAAATATGCATTTCTTTAAACATAATTTAAAAGCAGTGTAAGGGAAGTAACCAAAACGTTGTATTTGGATTACCTCCCTTACACTGTTTTAAATTATCTCAATTGTTCATTAACCATTACTTTATACATAATTTAAAAGCAGTGTAAGGGAGATAATTTCAATGATGTATTTGATTTATCTCCCTTACACTGCTTTAAATTATGTTTTGTACTAAAGTATTTGTCCATTAATCAGGACAACCTTGTTTTTCCCCCTTTTTTGCCCCTAATTCTTAAACGGTTTGAGCAATAACCCCCCAAAGCAAATCCTAACCATCCCTTTGTGGTATGGAAACTTGTAGTATAATTTCAGAAAGATCCATACACCGTTCCACAGTTATTGTCTGGAAACTAGAAAATGCTTATTTTTGGCCCCTAATTCCTTAACTGTTGGTACCATAACCCCCAAAATCAATCCCCACCTTCCTTTTGTGGTATTGAACCTTATGGTAAAATTTCATAGAGATCCATTCACTTAAACTAAAGTTAGAGTGCGAAAACTAATGTGTCTTCGGACGACGACGCCAACGTCATACCAATATACGACCACAAAAATTCTTTTGCGGTCGTATAAAAATGTGTTCACCTTAAGGTTTATCATAAACTGCTTCGCTGAGCGCAGCTAGATACGCCCGTAGAGGTCCAACACTGAACAGTTGGGGGGAAAATGGACACAATATTCAAGCTTGATTCAGGTCTGAATTTGGATTGTAATTAAATATTTGACATATTATAGGTTTCTGAATAAATGTAGTCAAAGAACTTGAAATTGGTTATATGAATTGAATTTAAATGTACATAATATCATGGCATCACTTCTTATGTAAAATGTGTCTCCATCTTCTGATATATCAGGATTTTGACAAGATACAAGAATTGTATCATGATATTATAATTTGTGAATGTATTTCTATATAAATCTGAAGATATTACTGTATTCCAATCAATGTACATTTCAATCATGTCAATAAGGAAGGAAAATTTGTGAATCAATATTTAACTAAAAATTCATGACAAGTAAAACTTCAGATAGTTACTGAAATAACTAGTCTTTCCCTCCAAAAAATAAAGATAAACTTTGGTTCTCTGAAATGTGGGTAACCACTTTGTTCTAGGTGTGCTGTCCCAATTTTTACCTGTGTTACCTGTGGGAAAGCATTACTTGCAACAACTTGTGCTGTCGTCTCATTGCCATCACCAGCTACCTGTACTACTCTGTAGGTCACTTGACCTGTAAAATACAAATTTTCTTATCATATCCTCCAATTTGTACATGTTGTATGACTTCATCTCTCACAAACATGACATCATTTTGTTTCCTTAAGTATTTACATGGAAGAAGAGGTTCAGCACTGCCTTTTAAGATAAAATCCTGGAGAACATAATTTATTTATATATTGAACTATCATCATGATCATGACTATTGAACAGGATTTACAATAGTAAAATCTTGAGTGGGATATTCAGGATGTTTATGACTGTCCAATTCACTGTCATGTAATTAGTTTGTTTATCATGTTTATAAGTATTGGTTTGTCTCCCAATACATTTGCAAATATTTTTTTCACTTTCATCAAATATAGTTGGATATAAATCATACTCTATAATATATATAGCTAGAACTAAGCAACAAAATAAAGAGCAAAGGAATAGCAATATAAGAATAACAGTATGGCAATACATTAATCATTTAGGAAGACAGAAACTATTTACTTTTTCTAGAGATATTATCACAGTTATTATGGGATTTTAACCTAACTTTTTTTTAAATCCTATTGGGAAAAAATCATTTGTAGGAAATTCAGAAAGTAAAACAAGATGGCTCAACGTGGATAGACATTGTTAATATTTTGTTATTTTTTAAGCAACCCTATTCAGAGTTTTTTATTAAAAATATATAAACTGGTTTTATTTGGAATATTTTCAATACCTAAACATGCTAAATTGAATATTTTTTCAAGAGTTATATCCGCTTTCCAAATGACAGATTCTTTTATAATTTTTGAATTAATCAATATATAACATTGAAGAATTCTGATGTATGTTTAAAGTGTCTCACTTAGAATTAGACTACTTTATGTGATATTATTGACAAACTTTTTAAACTTAAAATCCCTCAACAATCCATGGCTTTACTTAATGTTTTACCTTGCCCTGTATCAGCCCTCAGCTGATATTGTATGTTTGGATCCAGTGCTAGAGCTTGTCCTCCAACTGTTTGTACATTTGCTATTGTTGCATGTTCTTCATGTTCTCCTGTTAAACATATAACATTAACAATTTTCTAATTAAAAAAAAACATTACGTATATTAGTATGATATAATATATATTTAATCATCTAAAGTTAGATGTGGGGATTGTATGTTGGTGGCTAAAGATAACGCACTGTTTTGAGACTTCCTGAACTCATAGATTTTTTTGTGACTTGAAAGTACATGTCCTGATGCAAGATGCCTTCCAAAGTTAAAACTCCGAAATGTATATTCAGAAGTGACCTAAATTAATTGCTGCATCATGTATAATATCCCTGAGTTCACAGGACATAAGAACCAATATTAATATTATTTTTTAAGTATTGTAAAAGGTAATGAGTTATTCTTGGGTAACTTTGAATGTGTACACATGTATATAAACATATTTACCTGGGTCATGGTGTGTTAAAGTGACATCATCTGAGTTGTTGGAATCATTATTCTTTTGTTCACTGCAAACAAATAAAATAAGAACAATGTTGCATTTGCTTGATTGTAGTAGTTGTATGGGAAACACATTTCCATACTCACTTCTTATTCAACCTTTCTGTACATCTCATCAAATGAACATGAGCGAATAACAAAAGATACGGAGAAAAACACACCATAAAAATTATTCCACAAAAGGCACCAAATATTGAATATTTATAGGCCTTACAAATACAGTTACAATTAAAAATCACTAAATTGCATGAAATTACTTGATTGACTGATTGTTGGTTGCCTAACATTTAGTGGCAAATATTTCATGAATGTTCAGGGGGATGAAATTACTTGAAACTAGCTCAAAGCTTTTCATCAGCTGAAATAAAGACATGCAATCTATTATCAGCAATCACAATGTATAATTCCAAGTCATACAGCTTCTTCATAAAAGACTGAAGAAAAAAAAAACAGATCTTGTAGTGTTCACTCTTAGACCCAGACTATGATTTTGATATGGATGGAAAGAGGAATCTTCATAGGAAGCAGTTGAAGGTGGAGTATCATTTATTAAATATTGACTTAATCGTGTTAATTTCTTCTAGAAAGACATTAAAGAGGCATTGGAAAAGTACTTTTTCAACAACTAAATATTAATTAAATAATTTTTACTGAAATAGTGTTCATTCTTCCAAAGCAAAAATACATTCCTTGTATTTTACCAGTACATGTGCAAATACCTTACTGTTAAAGGGGCACTAGCTATGAGATTTATAAAAATTCTAAAGTATGATTTTTTTTTGTTCAATCATTAATGAAAGTGTAATAATGAAATATTAATTCCCTTTAAGCAGCCAGTATGGTTCAATTTTGTCAAATTAAGCTAAGAAAAATTGATAATTATATAATGAATTATTCACTTGCAAGTGAATAATTCAAACCTCATTGAATCTTTATTCATGTGAAATTCAATTTAACCCCTTAGCTAGAGATGGATAAGGCATGCATTGTGCGTGTTGAGTTATTTAAAGGAAAAGAATGTCAACATTGAAAGTGAAACAAAGGTAAATCATTTGATTGACTGATTCGATCCACAAAAATCATTCTTATACAGGTAAAAATGATGATTAACAAAAAATTAACATATATTTTTAATCTTTAATATGAAATTAAACAGACCTAGAAAAATCCAATTGCACGAGTTTCGCTTTCTATTTATATCTATATTTATGTTTATACCGCTTATATGACCATCAAAATTTCCAGATGTCAACTGGATAGTTAATTAGATGGCGTCAAGACTAAATACACACGAAACTAAGCTGCATATTATCATCGAGCCCATGCCCTGTAAATTGTTTATTTTAGACTTTTTATAATTTGGATATATGTTTTACATGGTTATAAATCAAATATGAGAATATGAGTCAAATCAGTGAACATGAATTTGACAGCTAGTGCCCCTTTAAATAATCATTATATAATATGGAATTAAAAAAAAAAATTGCTTCGCTGAGCTCAGCTGGATACGACCGCAGAGGTCAAACCCTGAACAGTTGGGGCAAAAATGGACACAATATTCGCGCTTGATACAGGTCTGAATTTGGATTGTAATTAAATATTTGACACATAATAGGTTTCTGACACAGAATAACTGTAGTCAAAGAACTTAGAATTGGTTTATGATTTGAATTTATATTCAATTTTTGATTTTGTGCACCCACAATTTTTTTTCACCTCACCTTGTCCGGAAACCAAATGCCTTCTGACGACGACATGATACCAATATACGACTGCAAAATTTTTTGCAGTCGTATAAAAATGATCACAGACAATGCTAATGTTAAAGAGTTTTGCAATACATTACACATGTTACAGTATCATGACCTTCTTGCCTTTTTTAAATATACGTATATATATCATATTTGTAGGGGCCTCAGTGGCCGTGTGGTCTAAGTAGTAAAACTACTGTATCACTAGCCTGTCAACACTGAGGTTGTGAGTTCCCAACCCTGGATAAAGGGGGGGGGGGGGGGGGGGGGGTTCCAACTATATATCCCCATTCAAATGCATTGATCATCAAAAAAAAGGGGGGTTCCAATCCCCAGAATAGTTTCAGGTAGTGTAGAATGTAGATTAAAACTAATTATAGGTAAATAATTAAATCTTTTATTTCCATATACAATTGAATAAGTGTGTGTTTAGTGTGTTATGAGGTGTGTAATAAAGTTGAATAAACTGGTCTCAAGCCGTGTATAGATTTAAAGGCTAACCCATTTACATCCTGGTTGATGAGTTGGATGCCATAGGAAAGAATTGGAATAATAACATTTAAAATCAAAGTGATTGTGAGCACTGGAGGGTGAAGTTTGCATTAATTTTGCAGTGGGAACTAGAAATTAAACAATGCATTGTAATTAGCATTGGAAGGCATGAATTGTAAATGGTTTAACTACAATTACAGACAAAGGGAGATAACTCCAATTCTAAATATTACTTTAAGTTTCACAATGACATCATTGATGTTTGAAGAACAATACTAGATTCATGCACCATGCACAATTTATGTAATTTTCTTGACAAGCATGACAAGCATGGTTTATACACATTATCATTATTTCGTACTTAAATATCTGAGTATATAATTCATTAATAAATTTCTTGATATGTTGTAGGATACTCCTATAGGATGATTAGAATGTTGTGCTCAATGCACTGTTTTGTTTATCTCAAAAGTAGAGACAAAGTCTGGAAAATTTGTAACTATCAATGCAATAACATAATGGTTTTGAATTTTTTAGTACCCCTAAAAAGTGTGGGAATCACATTGATATCAATACACAGATCTTACCAAATTTTATGTAATAACTTACACAATCATAAGATACTGATAAAAAATATTTTCATAATTCTTATCAACTGCTTATGGTTTTAATGACCCTTTCTGTAGGCCTAAGTATTATGAAATATTCATGGTGCAATATTATCAAAACAACAAAAATACTGAATAAATCAAAGACATGCCATTTTGTATATATACATGTACATGTACCAACAGGAAACAATGTTCATAGCAATAATATCTATTGTTCTGTTGCATTTAACAGAAAATTGGGATTTTGTGGCAAATCATGCTAAGATTTTTACAGAGATTTTCTTACAACATATTACTTACTCCCTTGTTTGAACATGTTATGCTAGCGTGTATTGATTACAAAAGTCCAAAACAACCTTTACAATAAATAAAAATACTCATGTGTGATGAGTTACTAAAAACAAGCACACCCTGGAACATGTAGAAGGTGTGCTTGAATAGGAACATATGTGTACATGTACCTGTTTTAATTAGTATCTTTATTCAAAAAATTGTTTTAGGGAAATCATTGCTGGCACTGCATACAGAAATCCTGTTAAATTAATTACCAAATTGTCCAGTATTAAGAGTACACGAGGATTGCGTATTTTTTTTTAATAAAATTTACATATGTCATGCAGTGAAACAACAAATTATAGGGTACATAATCCTTAAATTTGATATCTTACCTTTTCACATTAATTGATCACTAGCAATATTTTACAAATTTTGAATTTGAAATGAACTATTTATGCAAGCATATTTATTTTAAATTATGGAGCTGCCCGACCTCTCTTTTTTTTTATTTAAAGGGCAAATTACATGTCTATAGTTGGTTTCCTGTAGATGATTAAAATGGTGTTTTGTTACTTTCTTCAAGTCATGTACACATTTATTGGTTTAATGATATGTCTTCATTTAAAAATGCTGCACTTCTGAGTGTGCAAATGAAGAAAGTGAAATCCACCTAAATTAAAGTGTGTGTGTGTTACAGATTGAATGTAATGTTAGCCTAATAACTGGAAAAAGCGAAATCCACCTGAATTATAGTGTGCATGTGTTACAAATTGAATGTTATGTTAGCCAAATTAAGTAAATTTCAAATTTTTTGCCTAAGAATAGTATTATTAAAAATACTGTTACTTGTTTCCCCAATTTATAGGTTTTATTGTATAAAAATATAGTACATTACCAACCCTGTCAGCATTATCAAATTTGCCACCTGCAGTCAGTTAATAGTATTAAAATTAATAAAAAGACAAAAGAATAATTTGAAAGGCAGTGTTTTAAAAATAATATGAATGTCATGCACAAGTTGAATCAGAATGTTGAAAATTTCCTTTTTTTACAACTTTTACATTTAATTGACTCACATGTTTATTGAGTATTTAGAACTTAATGACACTTTAACCTACATACAAAATTACAAGGATGCACAAATATATAAAGAAAAAGTTAACCAGTCATGCCAGTTCAGTGATGTTTATGAATTTTTCTGGGTTGTAGAAAAAAAATCATATAATACAAGATAATAACTGCACTTAGTTGTTTACAATCAGACATTTGATTTACCTATCTTTATTTTAGATTTAACTATATATAAAAGCAAATTAAGACAGAAGTCCACATAATTTTTACTTCAGTGTCGCATTACAAAATTGTCATGCAAGCAATCATTGGTCTTTTTCGTGCACTATTGTTGAAATTCCGAATAATTGAACAGACCTTGCTTCCAGTGCTTGATCTAGCATATCCATGTGACTTTTTGACGATCGTTTGAATTTGCCAGGAATATAGCAAAAGTTGATCACGGGGCCAAACAACAGGTCATGTGAGATGAGAATTGAACATGTGACAAAAATGGCCGTTCTTGCTGAAAAAGTGTGCGGAGAAATACGTTTGCAAGTGCTTTTTTCACCATAGGTTAATTGCCTTTAGTTTTCTTTTTTGTTATGTATAGAGTTTTTAAATTACTTATTGATGTGAAAACAAAGGTGATACATTTATAATTTACATCAATTACAAAATTAAAAAGACCTTTATCTTACAACATTTTTTTATCGCGCAGTCTTTTCGAGAAAATAGAATCGGGATTCCCCGATGATTTTCGATAGTTTTCGGTAAATTCTATTTCCGGCGGTCGTTGAGACACATTTGAGAGACTTTCAAGATGTTAGACTTTTTTACGATATTCAGTAAAGGTGGGATTGTTCTTTGGTGCTTTCAGGGAACATCTCAACTGTTTACACCAGCAGTTAACTCTCTAATAAAGACTGTAATACTTCAGGTGAGAAAAATACAGAAAAAGTAACGGTAAATACCTACACGTGACGTGGGATGTAAACATATGGAAAATTTCAAATGATTGCATTTTCGTTTATTCTTGGTTGTATATTTTTTTAAGACCCCATAAATTATACACCTTTCGCATCACTTGACCATTTTGAAAATGTATCAGATAATGTAACAGATAATAATATTATTATATTAGGTGATTTAACTTTTAATAGAAACTCAATGACAATGTGCGAATGATAGGATGGAAGCAAGACAATTCGCCCCCGACCACCCCCCCCCCCCTTTTTTTTCACCAACTTGCCCACTTAACACCAACTTGTCCAACTTTACACCAACTCATCCCGCTTTACACCAACTCTTCCACTAATAAATAGGGGTTACATCCCGCTGATCTTAGGATTGTCAACTAGCCCCACTAATTACCTTCCCAGGAAATGTTTTTCTGTCCACTTCGGACAACCTCATCTAGAGTAGTTATCAATATCTGAATTATTTAAATCCTACACCATAACTTCAGGGCCTAATCTAGGATTTTGAAGAGGGAGAAGTGACTTCTCCTTCCATGAGAGAGAAGGGAGAAGTGGTCAACTTCTTGGAGAAGCGAGATTCCATTACCGTTTCGGTTGCATCGTGTTTTCAAGCTTATCACTAAGGAAATTGTTTTATATTCAATAAAAGATGTACTTGCAGTTTTTTCATATGTTATTGTACACAATGTATATATAGAAAGTTCTTAATAAAAAGGTTTAGACAATATATAGTTGTTATTTATTTATTGATACCATAATGTGTTCTGAATAAAATTTGTTGATTGGGACATGAGGGAGTAGCCTAGTAATATTATCAAGATTATGATGCATTAAATTAATGTGCATCTGCCTCAATTTATTTTTAAAACTCCAGAAAAATATGATGAATTTCACATGACTGGGAATTTAATTTATATCACCACTTGTCATTGTTTTGTAAAATATTATTGAATGTCCATGACATTTATGTTAGTTGTAGTAATTTGAGATTATCGTTAAAGATTGCAAGTCTATAAATGAAAATATCTTTCAATCTCCAGTTAATTATCCGATAAAGAGCTAATTTCTATCATTTTTTTTTTAAATATCATCCATATCAACGAAGTGGTCATGAGAAAAAATCCACTGCGGATCACAAATTATCTGGTCGAGTGTCGTACGTTTGCAATCACATTATCCATCAGCTGTCTTTCTACCTTATATATTTCAATTTTTATTCAATGAATATAAAATACCTACCGTTAATTCACACCCTTTACCTACCGAATAATAAAATTGATCGACTCGTGTAGGTAATAATAATAAAACAAATCAGCTGAGTGATTACGCAACATCCTCAGATGAAAATCATGAAAAACGATAACTTAAACAGACGGTCAGTTTTTCGTTTGAACAGTTTTGAAAGTTATATCCGAGGATGTTCAAAGTCGCCGTTGTATTTATTTAATTTGATCGTTTACAGTATTAGTCCTGGGTCGTTTCGAAAATCTCGATTTTCCTTGTCAGCCGCCATTTTTTTTTACCTGTGAGACTTGTCAATCACAAGTTGTCTCCCTTTTACCGATTTTGATAGCGATTTGACTTCGCTATGAGTCAGTCGGCCGGCGAGATTTAGGGATTTTCAAAATTCTTTGGCGACTTAAATCGTCATTTCGCCGGCAAGATTATGGCCTGAACTTAATAATTATATTACCATGGTTATAGGTATATTCTTGAAAAATCACCGCAATACAGGAATATCAACATGATCAATGTTCCATATATCAACCTATCACATATCACTGAATTAACCTCATTTATTGTTAATGTCCCAGGATCGGTATCTTGCTATATGGAACGCATATGAAATTTGCCTGCTCATTCCATCTAATTTGAGGGTATTATCACAATTATCTTTTTATCTGGATAAAGTACCGAGCAGTCCAGAATTACTTGAATTTTATCATGACAGGATAATGATGTAAATTTTTTCTCAGATATCAAGTTAACAATTTCATCAATCTAGTGAATATATTTTCTTCTGATAGGTTCTAAAATCTGATAGTCCAATACGAAGCAACAAATTAAAGAGTCTCATCGTCCTGATTGCATAGTTTGCAAGTTGGTGTTTCATTTTGTGTATATTTAATCCACTTATTTTTTTAATGTATAGGTACTGGTTACTAATTTCAGTTTAATTGCTAGTCTCGTCGTTTCCCTATGATCATTTTTGTCGAAAAAGCGAGACATAGCGATCCTACATTCCGTCAGCGTCGACGGCGGCGTCCACAAATATTCACTCTGTGGTTAAAGTTTTTGAAATTTTAATAACTTTCTTAAACTATCCTGGATGTCTACCAAACTTGGACAGAAGCTTGTTTATGATCATAAGATAATATTCAAAAGTAAATTTTGTAAAAAAAAATCCATTTTTTCCGTATTTTACTTATAAATGGACTTAGTTTTTCTGCCAGTTAACATTACATTCACTCTGTGGTTAAAGTTTTTAAAATTTTAACAACTTTCTTAAACTATCCTGGATTTGTAGCAAACTTGGAAAGAAGCTTGTTTATGATCATAAGATAGTATCCAGAAGTAAATTTTGTAAAAAAAAAATTCCATTTTTCCGTATTTTACTTATAAATGGACTTAGTTTTTCTGCCAGTTAACATTACATTCACTCTGTGGTTAAAGTTTTTAAAATTTTAACAACTTTCTTAAACTATCCTGAATTTGTACCAAACTTGGACAGAAGCTTGTTTATGATTAAAAGCTAGATTCTAGAAGGAAATTTTGTTAAAATTTTGTTCCATTTTTTCCGTATTTTACTTATAAATGGACTTAGTTTTTCTTCCAGTTAACATTACATACAGTCTGCAGTTTAAGTTTTTAAAACATTTATTAGATTCATAAACTATCCTGGATTTTTACCAAACTTGGACAGAAGCTACTTACAATCAAAAGATAGTATAGAGAGGAATATTTTTATTAATTTTTTTTCTCATTTTTTTTTAGCCTGTGATTAACAGCAAAAGTAGGCGAGACACTGGGTTCCGTGGAACCCTTACGAATTTTTGGTATTTATATCCAATAGATGGTATTATTTTCCAGGATTGTATGCTTCTATATTGAGATGGCACACGGTTGTAACTATTACTTCTGTCCAATATGTAATTATAGCAGTTTAAACAGTTCTTTTCCATTCTAATTTTTTGGGTGTACAGTTAAGAAGTTGTAACGGAGATGACAGTCGATATTTATATATCATTTTCTTAATTGCAATAAACCTACTCTTACTAGATCGATCTTTTACAGATATTGTCTAATAGCCACTCTTTTTTTTTAAAATTAATTTGATTTGTCTTGCCTACATACAGTCAAGGATATAACTCTATAGGGTTATTAGAGAAAAATAACATACGCTTGTTATTGTGGACAAAAAAATCAAAGAACTGTGATAACATATGTATGTTACATGTTTCAAAGGGACAATATACATCATTAGTTTTGTTAAAATGTGTACAAGTTCTATTGATATTGCTACTGTCTTTATGTATACTTAAGTATAGAAAGATATAACAGTTCATAGTTTGCCCATCATGCATATCACACCTATGTTATTACAGAACAAATATGCCTGTAATAACGAAAGGCTGTTATTATAGCTTCTCTACATCACTTCAAAGCATTTGCTCAGACATAGATCATGCTCAATTACAATGCATTTTAATTTATTGTAAGAAATAATGATCAGAGCATGTAATGAGGTTCTGCACAAGCTTCCCAGTAAATCCCAAGTGTCTCATTTAATAAGTTTCATGCCTTTAATAACTAAGCCTTGTTATTACAGCTAAGTTAATCACTTAAAAGCCTTGTCTCATTGATTTACCATGGTTAATGAAAAATGTATTAATCTAAACTAATAGTTAGTTATCAAGGCTATGCATTTAGTTTCTGCGCAAAGTTTCAAGAGTTCCCTAGAGCACACTAAAAATAAAAATATTTAAGGATTAAAGAGTAGACAACTCATAAAAGTATCTGTAATAACACATATAAGTTATTTTCTGTAATAACCCTATAGAGTTATATCCCTGACTGACATATATTATTAAATAATATCAGTGCTTTTGATCTACTTGTGCTTCTATAGGTAGAAAACCCTAATGAAAAAAAGTTAAATCCCACTGAATAAAGGCCTGCCAACTCGCTCTACTTGCGAAAAAGAGTTTAATCACACAATTGCCCAACTTTCATTCTAAAATAAGACTTGGCAAAAAAATTAACCATGTATTAATTGTAATTGTGGTATTTATTTAGTCCCTTACCGACGAAGTCGAAGGGGTCATTAGGTTTGCACTCCGTCTGTCTGTCCATCTGTCAGTCTGGCAAATCAATTTTCCAGACTTTTTTCTTCTGCTTGAAGATATTGATTTGATATTTGGTTTATTGATTTATCATGACAAGTAACAGGTCAAGTTCAATTTTCAGGATTTTAGCTTTTTTCTTTGTTCAGTTAAAGCCCTTTCCCTAGAATTAAATTTTTGATGAAATACTTATTAATTAGTAGATTTCTGTTCAGAAGCTTGTTTATGATCAAAAGCTATTATCTAGAAGGAAATTTTGTAAAAAAATAAATCCATTTTTTTCGTATTATACTTTTAAATGGACTTAGATTTTCTGCCAGGAAACAACATATTCACTCTGTGGTTAAAGTTTTTAAAATTGTAATAACTTTCTTATTCTATTTTGGATTTGTACCAAACTTGGACAGAAGCTTGTTTATGATCAAATGCTAGTATCTAGAAGGAAATTTTGTTTTCTTCCAGTTAACATTACATTCAGTCTGCAGTTAAAAGTTTTTAAACATTTATCAGATTCATAAACTATCCTGGATTTTTACCAAACTTGGACAGAACCTTCTTTCAATCAAAAGATAGTATCAAGAGGAATATTTTTATTGATTTACTTCCTCATTTTTGTTGAGCCTGCGATTAACAGAAAAAGTAGGCGAGACACTGGGTTCCGCGGAACCCTTACAAATTTTTTTCCTTTTCTTTGGTAAATTGTTTGAAGAATTTAGTGGTAGGTCTGTTTGTCATTCTTGAAGATATTGATTTGATAATTAGTATATAGTTTCATCATGAAAAGTTACAGATCAATTTGGAATTTTGTTCCTGTCTGATAATTTTGTGCAGAGTTATGGTCTTTGGACATAGAAAAAATTCACTTAAATAATCAGTTTTCATCAGTTATTTTCATCGTGCTTGAAGATTTTGACTTGATATTTTTATATAATTTACACCATGACAAGTTATAGATCAAGTTAGAATTTCGTTCCATCACAATGAATTTGTAACCGGTAGTGGACTATGTATTGCCATGCAATGCTCACAGAATGCTTGTTTAAGAAATAATTTCTTTTTTTCACTTTTGATAATAGAAAACAGTACTGTATTTGATGTAGCAATGTAAAGAAAGCTTACATACTTGCATAATAATGGAAAAGAAACCAGTTTATTATATCAAAATGAGATATATCATGTACATGTATGTAATCATAACAAATTTAGGATTCAAATTTAACAGCAATTTTGACAATTTGTGTTTATAGCAATTAATGGATTGATAACTATTCTGTATGTATTAAGACTAATTAATCAAGCAGTCAATGATTGAAAGGCAAATGTGACTTCTTTTCATTTTTTGGGTCGAGTTGGTAGTCTAAGTATAGCGTGGCTCAACTCCTTTTCAATACTAAGTGGGTTGAGTTGGTAGAAAATTGGGGCAAGTTGTCTTGTATTCTGTAGGATATCAAGTATTAGTGAAAGATGTGGTATCGAAAATATTGTTAGAGAGCCTATCCAAATATACTTCCACTTAGTCCCTTTATTTACAAATTATCGTAGTATCCCAAAAAATTGAATGGTGCTGCCGTGATTTTGTAGTGACCACAATTATTGAGGTAATCTTTGTCCCTGGTAAGAATATAACAGGTAAGGAATCCAAACAAACTAAAGAATAACTACAAGCTTGTACCACTTTATCACAAATCTAGTGTTTCCTGCAGCTTTTGGAAAGGGCCGGGTAATTTTTTTATCAGAGGACACTCTTAGCACGATTGGCTACACTTTAAGGGCACCCTTTGTGTGGAGGACTACACTTAGAGCACCCTTTACATAGATAATTTGTACATATATATATATAAAGGCACCATTATGGGTAGGGATTAAATTGAAATTTTTCATATTTACAGATTTATTTGTACTAATTAAAGAATCAAAAGATATTTATTTTAGGTTATTAATTTAATCAATAACTCTAGTTATAAACTATAATACTGGATCCCAGCTGATTGTCTAGTTTAAACAGTATTTTATTCAAATAAATTGAATTGGCAAAGACTATGTAAGACCTCTCCATAATTGATTGTCTAAGGATGTGTTGTGAAAGTGTCAAGACATGCATGACTAAGAGCATATGTATTGCTTTTTCATGTTTTTAGCTGCACTAAATACCTTTTGGATCTGACATGTTTATAACAATCAAACCGCCAATTAACGAGGCCCATAACTATACCAAACTTTTAAGGCCATTCATGCTTTTTTTATGCCCCCGCCGTTATGGAGGGGGCATTAAGTTTTACCCTTGTCCGTCTGTATGTACGTCCGTATGTCCCAAAATTGGTTTCCGTTCTCTTACTTTAGTTTTCCTTAACCAAATGTTATTAAACTTATACACAATAATTATTACCACAAGACACAGATCAAGTTTGAATTTTGGTGGCATATTTTTTACTGTTCTAGAGTTATGCCCCTTTACAAATGGAAAAATTGCTACATTTTTTATTTTAGTTCAACTTTAGTTTGTCTCAACCAAATGTTATGAAACTTATACACAATGCTTATTACCACAGAACACAGATCAAGTTTTACCGTCCTAGAGTTATGCTCCTTTACCAATGGAAAAATTGCTAAATTTTTCGTTTCCGTTTTCTAACTTTCATGACTTTAGTTTGGCTCAACCAAATGTTATGAAACTTATACACAATGCTTATTACCACAAAACACAGATCAAGTTTAAATTTTGGTGGTGTCACTTTAACCGTTCTATAGTTATACCCTTTAAAATTGGAAAAATTGCTAAATTTTTCGTTTCCGTTCACTTAAGTTTGCCTCAACCAAATGTTGTGAAACTTATACACAATGCTTAGAACCACAAAACACATATCAAGTTTGAATTTGGTGGAGTCACATTAACCGTTCTAGAGCTATGCCCCTTTACAAATGGAAAAATTACTGAATTTGTGGTTTCTGTTCTCTAACTTTAGTTTGACTCAACCAAATGTTATGAAACTTATACATAATGCTTATTACCTCAAAGCACAGATTGAGTTTGAATTTCGGTGGCGTCACGTCTACTGCTCTAGAGCTAAGCCCCTTTACAAATGGAAAAATTGCTGATTTTATTGTTTCCGTTCTCTTACTTAAGTTTGCCTCTACCAAATGTTGTGAAACTTATACAAAATGCTTATTATCAGAAAACTCAGATCAAGTACAAATATGGGTCTCTTTTTCCGTTCTTGAGTTATGTCCCTTTATAACATTGTATACAAGTGGGGACATCATCTCACTGATGATCTGACACATTCCCCATTTATTTCCATCCAATTCTTAGTTTGTTTTTTTTTTTTTATTGAATCTGTGTTGATTTTTGGTACTATATCAGCTATTCTCGGAATTTTAGTTAGTCTTGACCGACTGAATAGTGAAAGTGGTCATACTTAAAATGAAATATAAACAAACTGCTAATTGCTTAGGTAAATTCTTCGTCCCCGTGCATCATAAAATTATAACACTTAACTATCACCTGGTTAATTTCCTTTTAAATTGTCTACATTTTAAATTCACAGAGGTACATGTACAAAGTCAATGTTGTACTTTTTAGATTCAATCAGAAATATATTTGTACTCTGTTGCTTCAAAATGTTCACACATAACGAAATTAAATAAAATGTTGGCCTTTAAAATAGAGATTTTGTCCAAAATACCTCAAAATGGTCTTATTTAAAGATGAATCGCAGAATCAATCTTAAATTACAGCGGGGCCTTATAAAATACGATGGAAAAGGGGCAGGGCGCCATACCACGCAAAAAAACCTCCTATATAAAACACTACACATTACTTATATTAATTGTAACATGTTTTACAAAAATTGCATGCTTATGACAAAGCTTGCAATGAAACATTTCTAGCAACCTTATTTTCTTTATTTAATGTATGTTTCATCATATGGAAGATAAGCTTGTAGAAATATATATAGAACTTACATGACAACATGTAAAAATTTCATTTTACATATTTGAAACTCATAAGTGTGATAAATGTTCATGACTTATAATAAGTATTTGTTTCTGTTTACTATGGCTCCTGAATAGGCTGAATTCAATAACCATGTCTTCTGTTTATTTTACAATTACTAATTCTATTTTCAGGAAAGAACTGGGAATAATACATTTACACATGAAGCTTTACAGTTGAAGTATAAGCTTGATAATGAATTTGAATTGGTTTTTGTGGTAAGTATTATTATTACATATATCAATGAGATGTGAAGTGAAGTATGAGTCAAATCAGACAAACAAATATATGTGTAGGTTAACATATCAATAACAATAGACAAGTGTCCGTACAGCTTAAAAAACTGAATTGCCCAGAGTCTAGAAAACTTAAATAAATTCAAGGACTTTAAAAGACCTGCCATAAATGACAAATTCCTGAAGGACAAAGACATTAAGATATAACCAAAGACAATCATTGTGGTTCCTGACTGAATATGAACGTGTGATAGTTAAATTACTTTTCTTGGCACTCAAGATCTGCTTTTTAATCTCAATAAGAGGAGTAAGGAAAGATACATAGAAAAAAAACAAAAAAATAAATAAATCAGTAACGTACAGGATAACTAGTACTTTGTCTATGAAACAGGAACCTGGTAAATATTGAAGTCTGAGACAAAATAATTCACCAAAAATTGACAAAAAATAGAACTATACAAGTCACTGGATGGTCAGACAATAGACATACATGTACAAGTTGTCTAGCAATAGACAAACAACCATTAACATTAACAAAGTACAATTTATGACATGCTCTAAATCATCTGGAGTCTAGCATTAGTTCAATTCAGAGAGAATTCATGAGTCAGAATGAAAGACCAATCAACAAAAAATCTTTATAGAAAAAAACAGATGAAGAGACATCCACAAGTATTTATGAGAGACTGCATGAAGTTAACACTCACTTGTGTTTTTTTTTTAATTTAGGTGGCTTATCAAAAGATATTACAGCTGTCTTACATAGATAAATTCTTGACAGACATACAGATGGAATTCAGAAATAAGTACAAGGATTGTCTTACTGATGGTTTAGCGTGTGGCACCTTTAATTTTAAGGGATCATTTGATGAGATTTTGAGATTCAATGAAGAAGAAAGTAGAGCCATAGCCAAGTCTCAGAAGTAAGTATTAGCAGATGAATCTAGATATTTATAGCAGATATACTGAATATTCATAAGCAGAGATCCTTATTTATATATATAATCATGACAATAAAGATGATCCTGAATATTCATAGCAGAGCAGTATATCGTCTTGAAGACTCATACTAAATAATTAAAACACAAAGATATCTACCGTAGAAAGGCTTGTATAGTTCGCACTGGTACATAGTCCGCACCCCCTTCTCCCCACGAAATTTTAGGTAAAAAAACTTTTTGTAACTGTTAGAAAAGGTCTAATGAAACTCCTGTAATTTCAAATCCTGTGCAGTCGTTTGCGGTATTTTCTTGGAAAAACCTGTTTTCCATCATCAAACAGAAGCTGAAACTGCTTGTAAATGATTCTAGAACGCTTCATGATTGTTAAAATAAGTTTAATTCACTTAAAAAACAATTTAGAAACTTGTGTATGTTTAAACAGGAAGTTTAAAAAGCATGTGTAAAAGAAGAAATTAACCGGTGAGAGTCGAATTCTGTACATAACAGATATCACTATAATACGACTTTGAAAGTAAAACAGTTCCATCCTTTTGTAAAACAGTCTTTAATATATCTATCACATTAATGTTTGAAGGGTCTTAAGCTAATACAAACCATATTAGTCAGTATGAAACACCAAAACGGAACGAACAATAACCGATTACGTTTTGTAGTTTACAAATTCTAAGCTGGTTTACGGTTGTCTTTTTCACTATGTTTGTATCGTTTCAATCAAGCAGATACCAGTTTATTTCAACCAATGCATTGAAAAGAAACGAGAAATTTGTAATGAAAGGTTTAGTTTTTATATTTATTAGTATTAATTTGATATTGAATAGAAATAACTTATTAATATGGATGAGTTAAAATTATTAGTTTGAAAAATGATAAGAGCGCCCTCTACAATTTTAATAACAAAGATGGCGGAACGTAAACAAACCACCTCGCCCATGAAATTGAAATTTTTCTCTTATTTCCTGCTTATTGTACTCTATAGTCATGATAGTCCGCACCCCGTCTGGAAGGTCCAATTTTGGAGAATAAAACCGCGGACTATACAAGCCTTTCTACAGTACACACACCTCTTTTCTATTATTTCTTTTACACTATACACTGAACAAAAGCCATAACCACTGTTTCACATTCAATCTTATTCATAGATGTATTAGCTGTTGACTTGTTGTGGCATTATAATCTATTTTAAATTTATTGTAATCCTATTCTGATCATACATACTTTTCAGGAATTGTTAAAACTGTATTAAGTGTACACAGAATAGACAAATATCTAATAACAGTTTATTATCTAGTTAAGGGATAATATCCTTTGTTTTTTTTTTACTTTTATAATATTAGATTTCAATATGTCATGTATATGTTTATAGAGAATTCAAAATTTAGACCAATGCGACATTTGAAGCTGAATAATCATTTTTGTCTAAAAGGACATTCATTTAACCTTGCCACATTCTATATGTGCCTGTCCCTAGTCAGGAGCATGTAGTTCAGTGGTTGTAGTTGGTTTGTGTCTGTCAAATTTGTTTTGTTATAAATGAGGCTGTTAGTTTTCTCAATTGAATTGTTTCATATTTTTCATGTCAGGGCCTTTTATAGCCGACTATATGGTATGGGTTTTTCTCATTGTAGAAAGCCGTATGGTTGCCTATAATTGCTTACATCCACTTCATTTGAACTTTGATGGATAGTTGTCTCATTGGCAATCATACAACATATCCTGATTTATGTCTCGCCTATGACAAAAGTCGCAGTATGCGAGACATAGGTATTACTATCTGGTGGCGGCGGCAATGTAAATTATTTGTTTAAAGCTTTATATTTCAGAAGGCACAAGACCTGGATTCTTCATATCTTGTATGCAGATACCTTATGTAACAAAGTTTCCGTCTGTCATATGTCCATTGTCCTTAACCTCATTATCATGGTTCATTGGTCAATTATACATTTTTTCGTAATTTTGCCAGTTTATCAGTTTATCAGATGCTATAAGCAACAGGTCAACTATATTTGGTGTATGGAATGATTGTAAGGTGTATACATGTCTTTCTGGCCTGGTTCATCTGACCATGACCTCATTATCATAGAACATTGATAATGTTAAGTTTATGTGATACTTGTATTAAAACCTTCATGTTACAGACTTTCAACATAAATTTAATGATAACAAATGGATAAGTAAAACAGGCAAGACATTTTAGCATGTGCACTCTTGCTATATTCATGTTGGAAATTTATAGTTTTGAAAATTCCAAAAATGTGTTCCTATAAAAGTTTTAATTACTTAATTTTTCTGACTCTATAGTCCATGCCAATATAAATATTTTAAATAGTCTTCATTCTCTTTCCATTGTAATGGTTTAGGGTATCAGTTAAAATGTTACTTACAACAGGAATAAACTATTACTGAACTATCTATGTACATTTTATTCATGTATTTGCCAAGTTTGAAAACGTTGGATTCATTTATATTCATGTATACCAACTGGATGGAGGAATAGATGTTTTTTCGTGGAGACTTAATTTTGTGGTTATGACAATCTCTGCATACAAGCTAAAAGGAAATTTGAATTTTGTTGACCCTTTAATTCATTGTTTACGTATACCCATGAAATCCATGAAAATGAGAACCCAGGAAGAATAACAAATCTACAGTACTATAGTTTAACACTGCACATTATTATTAGTTTCTTGGAAGTCAAAAGACATTACATGTCAAATGTCATGAAGTTATAAACCAATAATTAAACAAAGTTTATTTATTTTTTTTAGGAAAATGAAAACATTTGATGAATCTGTAAAATCTAAGAAGACTGTGTCATCAATGATAGAAAACAAAAAAGAAGAAAAGAAACCAGCTAAAGGAAAGGAAAATAAACCAGTCAAAGGTATATATAAATACATTTGTGAGTTACATGTATGTATTCTCTTTTTAAGACCATGCAAAAAATAAACAGGAAAACCACCTGTATTGTTAATTTATTTTGATTGGAAGAAATTAAATGGTTTCCATATTTTAGCCCTCAATATGAAGTCGCAAATTGTGATGCTATAATATTTACAGCAAGGAAATACAATTTTGTTAATTTGAAGAATTTATCATGAAAATATTTTTATGCCCCATCTAGGGGCTTTTTGTTTTTCGGTCTGTGCGTCCGTCCGTCTGTTCATCTGTCCCGCTTCAGGTTAAAGTTTTTGGTCAAGGTAGTTTTTGAGGAAATTGAAGTCCAATCAACTTGAAACTTAGTACACATGTTCCCTATGATATGATCTTTCTAATTTAAATGCCAAATAAGAGTTTTGACCCCAATTTCACGGTCCACTGAACGTAGAAAATGATAGTGCGAGTGGGGCATCCATGTACTATGGACACATTCTTGTTTCAATTTTAAAAAAGTTTATTATTCAGAAGTAAAATTTGATTTTTTGTGGAAAAATAATGCTCAATGGATATCTTATGAGAGAAAAGATGAAAAGGGACTATTTGTATGTTTCTAGTCTTTTTTTCACTCAGCCAGTACACATTGCAAAAAAATGTCCAATCTCTTGACTCTTGTTAGAAGTGCCATTAAGAAATGAAATGTTTTCCTTCAAATGATAAAGATTAAGTTTACTGCTTTATATAATTTGTTATTGTAATCACAAATTTATTAAAGGCAAGAAAAGGGAAAGCTAATTTTATGATTCTCTCCAGTTTTTAATTAGAGATTATCATCTTGCTGGTTTTTTATACCCCCGCCGCAGCGGAGGGGGCATTAAGTTTTACCCTTGTCCGTCTGTATGTCTGACGTATATGTCCATCCATCCGTACGTACATCCCAAAGCTGGTTTCCGTTCTCTAACTCTAGTTTGCCTCAACCAAATGTTATGAAACTTATACACAATGCTTATTACCAAAAAACACAGATAGAGTTTGAAAATGGGTGGCGTCACTTTTACCATTCTTAAATTATGCCCCTTTATAAACATAAAAATTGCTGAATTTTTCAATTCCCGTCTCTAACTTTAGTTTGCTTCAACCAAATATTATGAAACTTATACACAATGCTTATTACCACATAATACAGATCAAGTTTGAAATTGGGTGGTGTCACTCCTACTGTTCTTGAGTTATGTCCCTTTATAAACATAAAAATTGTTGAATTTTTCAATTCTGTTCTCTAACTTTAGTTTGGCTCAACCAAATGTTATGACACTTATACACAATACTTATTACCACAAAACTCAGATCAAGTACAAATTGGGTAGCGTCACTTTTACCATTCTTCAGTTATTTCCCTTTATAACTTTATTAGATATGCAAGTGGGGGCATCATCTGTGTCCCATTGGCACATTCCCCAATTTTTTTTTTTGCCTTGAGCAATGTTGAGCACTATGTTTAAAATGAAAATTCATATGCTTTTATTTTGTTCCAGTAATCTTGTTAAATTTTTTTCAAAATCTGTTAGCCCACTGCTACATCTACTGGAGAAACTTGATAGTCTATAGACGACATAGAAAGTCTTCTTATTTGATACTGTGTTTATTAATCTAAACATATGGTAAAACTTAAATCTAATTTCAAATGTGTTGGAGGTCTATATTTTAATTTTGTTTTTGAGAGATGTGTATTTAGAGTCTATCTTCACCAAGATGTTTGGTTGTTCAATATTAGAATTATTGTTATTCTGAAAATTGTTGGATTTTTGAATGCTTTTGAATATTTTAGAACAAGTTGTTAAAGAAACTGTGAAGAAAACTGAACAGACCACTGCAGTCTTGGGCGAAATGGACGAACTAACTATACAGAAAAATAGAGAAAAGATGTTTGCTAAGATGTCTGGAAAGAAACCTGTTAAAACGTTAGTTATAATAGCTGACTTTATGAATAGGGCAACTGCTATATTGTACACATTTCCATTGATTTAGGCTTTATCTATGTCAACCGTAATTATTTTGTCTACCAACACTAGATTGGAAGATTGGAAATATAAGGCTCGCAGTAAAAGGTCTCTTTCTACTCTCTTTATATATCTCGGTTTCCGATTGGTCAAATTTTATGGGAAGGTCTATTGCTAAAATTAAATTTTTCTCAGAGTTATCTGATCTTACGTCATTTCATATAGTCACAAGAGCGCAATTATTCGTAATGCATTTTCCATAGGGTACCACTGGTGTTCCGTATTTTTTTTCTCAAAGACTACACAAACTAGGGAAAAACGGATTGCAGTTCCTGTTACTAGAAATGCCAGTGTTGCATTACAACCAAAAAAATATATAGGGTCATGCGGCAGAAATTGACTTAAAATGCAGTTGAAAAAGATCGTCTATTTTTTTCGCTTAATGAAAAAGGCATATTTTTAATGCAGAAATGGCTGATATTTTCTATACTTCGTAAAATGTAAATATTATTTTCTGCAATTTTTAAACCTAATTGGATAAGCTTTCGATTAAATGTAATTCCAATCCTGTATCATCCAATCAGAAGCCGTATAGGATTCTATTCTGAGTACCATCTTGGGGTAAAAAAATTGCTGGTAAAATGTAAACAAATAATTGCGCTCTTGTAACCATATGTAAAGTGCAGAGAGAGTCTGAATTTCATTGATGGAATGGGAAAATTTGAGCCTAAAAATAGAAACTCCTAACTCCTTAGACATACCTCAAATAACACTTGTTAAATTTTTTTTCACGGAATCTTTTACAAATTTATTATCTGGATGATAAGTTCTATTCAGACAAAAACTAGCAGGTTTTTTTTTTAATACTTTTTATAATTATTCATTTACTGCAAGTCTTATATTTTCAATCGGTTGTTGGTAGACGAAATAGTTACGGTTGAATACTTGGGTAGGCCTGCTACAGATGATTCCGACAACAAAGGTAGGCTTGTTATACAACATTGTGAAGATAAATCAATTTAGATTTAAGGCATAACAAGTTTTAGTGGGGTTGACAACCGAGAAATCGAAATATAATGGAATTTTATGACCGGGTTACATTTTTTCAAAAATGCGAGTTAAGTACCTTGGTGTTATATTAAGGTATATAGGATTTTTTTTCTGAGACAAGTGCCTGTGTGTTTTTACTAGGCAGCACTACTTACAGTAAACATGATATCCCCAAAAAGATGCAATATTTTTTTTTTAAATCCAATTCAGCATAAAATTTTAATCAAACAGAAAACATTTGAGTCCAGAATTTTTTTTAGAAAAAAATGGACTATTTTATTTCGCTCCATGTTTTGACATGCACCAGAAACTGGAGTTGTAATACAAGACTGGTACCTTATGGTACTGGCTTGATATCTATATCTTCCAAGAGATAGTTTATAAACCAAAAAGTGCAGTGAGGTGTACATTCTTTAAATCCTATCCAATCAATGAAATGCAATTTATTAATTATATGTTATATTCAGATATTCAAGTTACAATATGATGTGTATTTGAATAATTATACTTGTCAAGAAAACGTTTGTGTTCAAAATTTCACAAGGTATGCATTGTGTATGAATCTGTTATAAAATTTGGTTTAACTACAAATGTACAAAGGAAGATAACTCCAATCAAAATTTATAATTTGCCCAACTAAATACACATTCAATGTTTTATTTTAAATTCACCTTTTCTGATGAAAGGAAATCTTTACCCTTCAGTGCTCACAATCAATATGATTTTTAATTTGTGAACACTAATATTTCAGAATGTATGTAATTTAAATTTGTTATAATCTTTCCCCTTCAGAGCCAGTGCCAGTCCAAAAGCAGAAACTCCCAAGAAGAAGGGAAAACAAGCTACTAAATGGGAAATGGGAGGAACTAATAAAGATGCAGTGGCTCTTGATTATAGTTCTCTGAATGGATCAGGGGATGCCACTATTAATGGAAGTATGGAAGAGAAACATGGAACACCGTCTGCTGAAGAAGTAAGAGTCTTAACAATTTATAGGCATGGAATAGGAGGAACGCATGTATACATTACAAACCTATGAATATTTATTTTTTATGGCCCTGCTACAAAGTGGTTGGGCCATATAGTTTTACCATTATCTGTCATTCTGCAACGAACAGTTATACAGACTTTTTTTCAAACGCCTTCACATATTAAGGGATTTTTAGTATGTGAGTCTACTATGATGAGTCACAGATCGAGTTTACATATGGTTCCACTACTGATTTTTGCCAAAATTACAGGCTTTGGCCTGAAATTTTTTTTGAAAATAACAGTTATACAGACTTTTTTTCTAAACTCCTTAACGTATTGAGCTGATTTGTGGAATGAGAGTCTACTATGATGAGTTACAGATCAAGTTTACGTTTGGTGTCACTCTGCTGATTTTTGCCGAAATTATGGGCTTTGGACTCTGAAAATATCTTAGACATTTATGCCCCTGCCATCAGTCTGTCCGTACGTACGTCCAAAAGTTGGTTTCCGTTCTCTAACTTTAGTTTGCCTCTATCAAATGTTATGAAACTTATACACAATGCTCATTACCACAAACACAGATCAAGTATGAATTTTGGTGGCGTCACTTTAACCGTTCTAGAGTTATGCCCCTTTACAAATGGAAAAATTGCTGAATTTTACGTTTCTATTCTCTAACTTAAGTTAGCCTCAACTAAATGTTATAAAACTTATACACAATGCTTATAACCACAAAACACAGATCAAGTTTAAATTTTGAAGGTGTCACTTTTACTGTTCTAGAGTTGTGCCTCTTTACAAACGGAAAAATTGCTGAATTTTTTCGTTTCCATTCTCTAACTTAAGTTTGCCTGAACCAAATGTTATGAAACTTATACACAATACTTATTACCACAAAACACAGATCAAGTACAAATTTGGTTAGTGTCACTATTTATAGATATTTGATTTTGTGGTTTGTCAATGTCTGCATACAAGCCAATGGAAAATTTGTAATTAGTTGAACATTTAAATTTGTGATTCATGTGTACTTATGAAACCCACGAAAATGAGAACCCTGATTTAATGAGGCCAAAAATAGCTCGTATAATCCCTTGTCCTTTCTTTTCATAAATTATTCAAGCAGATGAAGATCTGGCTTTTAATAAGGATAAAAGCCTAGGATTTTTCTTTGAAAACTTTCTGAAGATTTCAGAAAATGTTGTCAAGATCCATAAAATTTCAATCTTTTAGAACAGAAATTCTATGCACTATTGTTCAAACTGTTATACTCAGCTCTTATCTTTATGAAAATAAGTCCTATATGGCTCTTTTAATGCTTTTGGAAGATAAACAAAATAATTTCATGTTGTTTTTTAAGCAACAATGGGTAGGACAGATGAAAGGAGGTTTGAGAGATTTAGATGAAGAAGAAAGTGAAGATGAAGAAGAAGAAGAGAAAGGAGTACAGGAGACGGTCAAGAGGTAAAAAATCTAAGGGAAAACATTTCAAACTATAGGCAAACAGAAAGTGGCTGCACAGCAGATGTAAAAATTGATTACATGCTACAACTCAACCTTATCAAGATGCAAATCAAATATTAAACATTCCCTTTCATAGAGGCCAAGATTGGTGAAAGTATTCTACTCAAGGTCTTTTTGACGGAGTGAGTGGAGCCGTAAGTAGACCTTCTTCCGCCATTGGCAACCCAGGTAACAACAGACAAAGGTGGTTCATCTAACAAATAAGGAAGCCTTAATTTTGTACACATTCGAATGAATTAGTGGTAAACAAGATTTATTGAACATTTTATATACTGTGAATTCAGAAATTATTGGGAGGTTTTTATTAATGAGAATAATGCGACTACTTGAGTATCGCAATAATAAGAAATCACATTCTGATATTAAATACATATATCTGTATGTAGCTTTTCCTGAAATTGCAATAACTAAACTTACATTTTTTTAGCTCACCTGGCCCAAAGGGCCAAGTGAGCTTTTCTCATCACTTGTCGTCCGTCGTCGTTAACTTTTACAAGAGTCTTCTCCTCTGAAACTACTTGGCCAAATTAAACCAAACTTGGCCTCAATCATCATTGGGGTATCTAGTTTAAAAAATGTGTCCGGTGACCCGGCCAACCAACCAAGATGGCCGCCATGGCTAAAAATAGAACATAGGGGTAAAATGTAGATTTTGGCTTATATCTCTAAAACCAAAGCATTTAGAGCAAATCTGACATGGGGTAAAATTGTTTATCAGGTCAAGATCTATCTGCCCTGAAATTTTCAGATGAATCTGACAACCTGTTGTTGGGTTGCTGCCCCTGAATTGGTAATTTTAAGGAAATTTTGCCGTTTTTGGTTATTATCTTGAATATTATTATAGATAGAGATAAACTGTAAACAGCAATAATGTTCAGCAAAGTAAGATCTACAAAATGGTCAGTTGACCCCTTAAGGAGTTATTGCCCTTTATAGTCAATTTTTAACCATTTTTCGTAAATTTTTGTAATCTTTTACAAATGTTTTTACAAAATATTTTCCACTGTAACTTCTGGGCCAAGTTCATTATAGATAGAGATAATTGTAAGCAGCAAGAATGTTCAGTAAAGTAAGATCTACAAACACATCACCATCACCAAAACACAATTTTGTCATGAATCCATCTGTGTCCTTTGTTTAATATGCACATAGACCAAGGTGAGCGACACAGGCTCTTTAGAGCCTCTAGTTTTAATCTTCAGAAATCGCAATAATAAATGCACACAATAATTTATGAATTTACAGTATTGAAAAATAACAAACTCATTTGAGTTCAATTCACATCTCCATTTTATTTTTTAAGTGGCAAATCTAAGAAAGGAAGTGGAATGTTCAGTATGTTTAAGAACCTTGTTGGATCAAAGACATTGACCAAAGAAGATTTACAACCTGCTTTAGAAAAGATGAAAGAGCACATCATTGGTAAATATGTGATTTAGTACTTGTGAAACATATCCTTAATCATTTTGAATTATGAATATAAATTGTAAATAATTACTGTTAAAGTTGATATTTCAGATTGCCATTTTACATAATATTTAGCAATATCTACATAGTACAAAAAAGGTACACTGGGAAACAAAAACTGCTTAAATGTAGTATAAATATAAAATGATAAACCACTCTATAATACTTCTTAACATTGAATTTTATGTTAAGTTTCATTCCTTATTGATAAACATAATGAAGTTGCTATGAAACGTAAAATATGCAGTAGTATATTATTAATCAGAAAATACATTTCTTATGTTTATTTTTTTTTTCAGGAAAAAATGTTGCTGCAGATATTTCTGCTAAATTGTGTGATTCTGTGGCTGCTAAGTTGGAAGGAAAAGTTTTGGGAACCTTTTCAAGTAAGATTTGCATAAATATGGTTTAAACAATAATGTAAATATGTTAAGAACCATATACATTTTCCCCCTTAATAATATGAAGGCTTGGCTCTTTTCCTAAGAAGAGAAGTTAATTCCCATTATTAGTGTTCCCTGTGTCTATATTACCTACTCAGCTATTAGTCAAAGAAGGAAAAGATATTGTTCGATCATGAAAACTGCTCAAATCAAAGCCAGTGAATATAAAATCAGATTTTCATCAGCGCTCAATTATCAAAAAGGTTCATATTGTGACCTATACTTCTAATTGTGACTTACTGCTGATACTTAAAGTATGCAGAAAATCTGATTATCTGTTTAACTTATGTTATGTGTTGACTTTCAATTATAAATAGTTTACTGCCAAAAAGAAGATACTAATAAATTGTACATTTAATTGATTAAGTAAACGGGGAATATAAAGTATTCTCAAGACAAATTGAAAGGATCCTTATGTTAGCATTTAATCAAGAAGGGATCTTGTTGAAGGATGTAGTCAGGTGAAATTAAAAAGATCTGGAATTCAAAATTGATACTTAAAATCAGAAGAGCATTAGTTAAGGAACAAAATAAGCTCAAAATATTGATAGGTTATGGAACTACTTTCTGAGATATTTGATTATAAAAAAAATGCGGAAAAGGCTGACTCAGATTTTTACGTTATATTTAGCATTGGCATAATATGGGTCTTAGATTTGTTAGAAAAGAAATCTAGAATCTTCTTAACTTTTGGTAATGACCTTTTATGAGCTATTGAAGTCTTCTATGAAAAGAAAAGTGGGTGATATGGTGCAAAATATTTTACCCTGTATGTTAGCAATAAACCCAAGGAGTATGAACATCTGACAAAAATTTCTAAACCTGACATAACTACATCCTTAAGTCACCACTAGGGGAGCCTTTTAATCTAACTATATGGTATGAGAACTCTAGTTCCATGATGGGGACTTTCAAGCTAATGATACTGATTCAATGCCTGAAACAATTTTTTTTTTAAATTAAGGTACTTTGTGAGCAAATTTCTTGAAGACAAGTAAATAACACATAATGAGATTATCAAAATTCTCCATGGCTAAGATAGTCTGAGATCCATATCAAAATATAGAACGGCAATAAAAGCACATTTCCTTTGATATATATTATTTCCCAGTTATTTTGATTCATGTAAATCCTCTTCTCATCATATTTGAAATATCAACAGCTGACAAAATGATTTTGGATAAAGGTGCAGATATATGTAAAGATATATTTGGTTTAATATCTGTTATTCAGGTCCAAGATCGATTAGAATTGATATATCAGTTGTAGACTATTGTATAGAATAATAATATTTCTGGTAATTTCTTTATATTTTAGCAACTGCAAATACAGTTAAACAGACTTTACAGGACTCCTGTGTTCATATCTTGGAACCAAAGAGACGTATTGACATCCTTAGAGACGCTATGGAATGTAAACAAAAAGGACGTCCATATGTTGTTACATTTTGTGGAGTAAATGGTGTGGGGAAATCGACAAACTTGGCTAAGGTTATCTACATGTTGTTTTTATACGACCGCAAAAAAATTTTTGTGGTCGTATATTGGTATGTCGTCGTCTGGCGTCGTCCGGCGTCGTCCGAAGACACATTGGTTTTCGCACTCTAACTTTAGTTTAAGTGAATGGATCTCTATGAAATTTTACCACAAGGTTCAATACCACAAAAGGAAGGTTGGGATTGATTTTGGGGGTTATGGTACCAACAGTAATGGAATTAGGGGCCAAAAAGGGGCCAAAAATAAGCATTTTTGTAACTTCCAGACATAACTTGTGTGTTAGTGTATGGATCTCTCTGACATTGTACCACAAGGTTCCATATCACAGAGGGAAGGCTGTAATTGATTTTGGGGGTAATTGCCTCAAAATTTTTGGGAATTAGGGGCCAAAAAGGGGGCAAAAAACAAGCATTTTTCTAGTTTCATGACAATAACTTGTGTGTAAGTGTTTGGATATTTCTGAAATTGTACTACAAGGTTCCATATCACAAAGGGAAAGCTGGAATTGAGTTTTGGGGTAATTGCCCGAAACGTTTAGGAATTGGGGGCCAAAAAAGGGCCAAAAATAAGCATTTTTTCTAGTTTCCAGACAATAACTTGTGTTCAAGTGTATGGATCTCTCTGAAATTGTACTGCAATGTACCATACCACAAAGGGAAGGCTGGGATTGAGTTTTGGGGTGATGAATCATAAGGGGGTTCAAAAAATTGGGGGGGGGGATTTTTTTTTTTCTTTTTTTCCTTTTTTTTTTCTTTAAAAATTTTCCATTTTAAGTTGGTTATTTCTGATTTATATTTAAAAGCAAATAATAATGATATGGTAGGAGATACACACCAAACAGGATGTGTAAATTATTATATAATAAGTATTGTGCAATAGCAAGAAATTTTCAATTGCACAGTATTGCACAATAGCAAGAAATCTTCAATTGCACAGTATTGCGCAATAGCAAGAAATCTTCAATTGCACAGTATTGCGCAATAGCAAGAAATATCCAATAGCACAATATTGCGCAAGAGCAAGAAATTGTAACTTGTACAGTATTGCGCAATAGCAAGAAATATTCAATTGCACAGTATTTTGCAAAAGAAGATACTTCGTATAAATTGCTTATTTCTTGATCAATTTCAATGGGGTTTTATTCTAAAATTCTTAGGGTTCTTAATATGCTGAATCTAACCGTGTATTAAGTTTTTGGATTTTGGGCCCCATTTTTAAATTGGTCCACATTGAGGTCCAAAGGGTCCAAAATTTAACTTTGTTTGATTTCATCAAAAATTGAATTATTTGGGTTCTTTGATATGCCGAATCTAACCATGTATTTAGATTCTTAATTTTTTGTTCTGTTTTCAAATTGGTCTACATTAAGGTCCAAAGGGTCCAAAATTAAACTTAGTTTGATTTTAACAAAAATTGAATTTTTAGGGTTCTTTGATATGCTGAATCTAAACATGTATTTAGATTTTTGATTATGGGCCCAGTTTTCAAGTTGGTCCAAATCGGGGTCCAAAATTAAACTTTGTTTGATTTCAACAAAAATTGAATATATGGGGTTCTTTGATATGCTGAATCTAACCATGTATTTAGATTTTTGATTTTTGGGCCCCGTTATCAACTTTGTCCACATTGAGGTCAAAAGGGTCCAAAATTAAACTTTGTTTGATTTCATCAAAAATTGAATTCTTGGGGTTCTTTGATATGCTGAATCTAACCATGTATTTAGATTTTGGATATTGGACCATAATAGGTGAATGTCCAATTTAAAATTTTTAAGTTCTTAGACCACATTCATTCTGTGTCAGAAACCTATGCTGTGTCAAATATTTAATCACAATCCAAATTCAGAGCTGTATCAAGCTTGAATGTTGTGTCCATACTTGCCCCAACTGTTCAGGGTTCGACCTCTGCGGTCGTATCAAGCTGCGCCCTGCGGAGCATTTTATTGTTTTAAGCTCCCAGCTTCTATATTTGTAATATTAACATGGAAATTTCACATTTGAATTATTTTTGACTATTTTGTGATCACATGACATGTGCCAAATTTTACCCAGCACAAATAATTTGTAGAAAGCAAACAATATTTATGTATAAGACAATTATATCAATAGATAAAGGAATTTAACTCTTCATTGTAATTGCCAAAATAATAAACCTCACAAATATCAATGTTTACAATATACAGTCATTATGTTTGGTTCTGTCGCCATATTTTTATACGACCGCAAAAAAATTTTGTGGTCGTATATTGGTATGACGTTGGCGTTGTCGTCGTTGGCGTCGTCATCGTCCGGCGTCGTCGTCCGAAGACACATTGGTTTTCGCACTCTAACTTTAGTTTAAGTGAATGGATCTTTTTGAAATTTGACCATAAGGTTAAATACCACAAAAGGAAGGTTGGGATTGATTTTGGGGGTTATGGCACCAACAGTTAAGGAATTAGGGGCCAAAATTAAGCATTTTCTAGTTTCCAGACAATAACTGTGGAACGGTGTATGGATCTCTCTGAAATTATACTACAAGTTTCCATACCACAAAGGGATGGTTAGGATTTGCTTTGGGGGTTATGGCTCAAACCGTTTAGGAATTAGGGGCAAAAAAGGGGGAAAAACAAGGTTGTCCTGGTTAATGGACAAATACTTTAGTACAAAACATAATTTAAAGCAGTGTAAGGGAGATAAATCAAATACATCATTGAAATTATCTCCCTTACACTGCTTTTAAATTATGTATAAAGTAATGGTTAATGAACAATAAAGATAATTTAAAACAGTGTAAGGGAGGTAATCCAAATACAACGTTTTGGTTACTTCCCTTACACTGCTTTTAAATTATGTTTAAAGAAATGCATATTTATAAAGGAAGACCAGTAAAAATATCTGCAAATGTTGCATCTTTTTTTTTTACAAAAAAATCAATATGAAAGATTTGACACTATATTTTTAATTCTATTATAAAATAGATTAAGTTAGCACTATGGTAAATTTAAATGGGTAATTATGGTTGCCAACTCCATTGGAAATTTGAATTGAGATTATGACCATATCTTGAGGGAAAGAATTTTTTGGGGGAAAAAAGGGGGGGGGGATAAAAAGAAATTGTGGGGGGTCAATTTTTTCTCATTTCAGATTTCAGAAATTAAAAAGAATTATTCTTCAAATATTATTTTTTTTTCAAATTTCAAATATTGAAAAATTTCAAGAAGTAATCTTTAATTGCACAGTATGGCGCATTAGATTTGTAAAATCTTTGATCACATTTATTTATTTGTTATGCCGAATCTAACAGTGTATTTAGATTTTTAATTTTGGGTCCAGTTTTGAAATTGGTCTACATTAAGGTCCAAAGGGTCCAACATTAAACTTTGTTTGATTTTAGCAAAAATTGAATATATGAGGTTCTTTGATATGCTGAATCTAAACATGTATTTAGATTTTTGATTTTTGGCCCAGTTTTCAAGTTGGTCCAAATTGGGGTCCAAAATTAAACTTTGTTTGATTTCAACAAAAATTGAATATATGGGGTTCTTTGATATGCTGAATCTAACCATGTATTTAGATTTTTTATTTGTGGACCCTGTTATCAAATTGGTTCATATTGAGGTCAAAAGGGTCCAAAATTAAACTTTGTTTGATTTCATCAAAAATTGAATTATTGGGGTTCTTTGATATTCCAAATCTAACCGTGTATTTAGATTTTTAATTTTGGGTCCTGTTTTTTAAATTGGTCTACATTAAGGTCCAAAGGGTCCAAAATTAAACTTAGTTTGATTTTAACAAAAATTGAATTCTTGGGGTTCTTTGATATGCTGAATCTAAACATGTGTTTAGATTTTTGATTATGGGCCCAGTTTTCAAGTTTGTCAAAGTTGGGGTCCAAAATTAAACTTTGTTTGATTTCAACAAAAATTGAATATATGGGGTTCTTTGATATGCTGAATCTAAACATGTATTTAGATTTTTGATTATGGGCCCAGTTTTCAAGTTGGTCCAAATTGGGGTCCAAAATTAAACTTTGTTTGATTTCAACAAAAATTGAATATATGAGGTTCTTTGATATGCTGAATCTAACCATGTATTTAGATTTTTTATTTGTAGGACCCGCTATCAAATTGGTTCATATTGAGGTCAAAAGGGTCCAAAATTAAACTTTGTTTGATTTCATAAAAAATTGAATTATTGGGGTTCTTTGATATGCCAAATCTAACCGTGTTTTTAGATTTTTAATTTGGGTCCCGTTTTTTAAATTGGTCTTCATTGAGGTCCAAATGGTCCAAAATTAAACTTAGTTTGATTTTAACAAAAATTGAATTCTTGGGGTTCTTTGATATGCTGAATCTAAACATGTGTTTAGATTTTTGATTATGGGCCCAGTTTTCAAGTTGGTCCAAGTTGGGGTCCAAAATTAAACTTTTTTTTATTTCAACAAAAATTGAATATATGGGGTTCTTTGATATGCTGAATCTAACCATGAATTTAGATTTTTTATTTGTGGGCCCCGCTATCAAATTGGTTCATATTGAGGTCAAAAGGGTCCAAAATTAAACTTTGTTTGATTTCATCAAAAATTGAATTATTGGGGTTCTTTGATATTCCAAATCTAACCGTGTATTTAGATTTTTAATTTTAAGTCCCGTTTTTTAAATTGGTCTACATTAAGGTCCAAAGGGTCCAAAATTAAACTTAGTTTGATTTTAGCAAAAATTGAATTCTTGGGGTTCTTTGATATGCTGAATCTAAACATGTGTTTAGATTTTTGATTATGGGCCCAGTTTTCAAGTTTGTCCAAGTTGGGGTCCAAAATTAAACTTTGTTTGATTTTAACAAAAATTGAATATATGGGGTTCTTTGATATGCTGAATCGAACCATGTATTTTGATTTTGGACATTGGACCATAATAGGTAAATTAAAAAAATTCAAGTTCTTAGACCACATTCTTTCTGTGTCAGAAACCTATGCTGTGTCAAATATTTAATAACAATCCAAATTCAGAGCTGTATCAAGCGTGAATGTTGTGTCCATACTTGCCCCAACTGTTCAGGGTTCGACCTCTGCGGTCGTATCAAGCTGCGCCCCAGCGAAGCATTTTATTAGTTTTTATAGGCCTGTTTACGGGACGTATTATGGTATACCGTTGTCTGTCTGTCTGTCCGTCCGTCGGTCGTCAACATGTCGGACATTGACTCAAAAACGCTTTAATCAATTTGCATAAAACTTTGGTGAATTGTTTATATCTATTGATGTGAGCTCCCTTTCGTTTTTTATAAATTTAGATTTTACGTTTCCGATTATGGGGTTTTATTCATTAAAAAAAGGTGGATTTTCCAGTTTTTCGGACAATAACTCGAAGAATGCTTTCACCAATTTGCAAGAAATTGTGGTGAATTGTTTATATCATTGACATGAGCTACCTTTAGATTTTTACATATTTTAGATTTTTATTCATAAAAAAAGGGGGATTTTCCAGTTTTCGGACAAAAAATCAAAAATGCTTTCAGCAGTTCTTCTGAAACTTTGGTGAATTGTTTATATCTATTGATGTAAGCTCCGTTTATAATTTTATAAATTTTTCATTTATCATTTCTGAGTTATGGGGTATTATTCATTAAAAAAGGGGTGATTTTCCAGTTTTCGGACAATAACTCAAAAATGCTGTCACCAATTCTCATGAAAGTTTGGTGAATTGTTTATATCTATTGATGTAAGCTCCCTTTACAATTTCATAAATTTCTTATATGACATTGAGAATTAATTGAACTTGATTTGTTTATAGTCTGACAACAGATTACTAAGTATTGCGCAACAGCACAGTGTATTGCACAACAGCAAGAAATCTTTAATTGAATATAAATTCAATTCATAAAACCAATTTCAAGTTCTTCGACTACGTTTATTCAAAAACCTATAATATGTCATATATTTAATTACAATCCAAATTCAGACCTGTATCAAGCTTGAATATTGTGTCCATTTTGCCCAAACTATTCAGGGTTGGACCTCTGCGGGTGTATCCAGCTGCGCTCAGCGAAACGGTTTATCACAATTTTTCAGTGAATTTTTAAGTAGAAATATGAGTAGTTTGAATTACCACCCATTTACGGCATACAGATTTTTATACGACCGCAAAAAAATTTTGTGGTCGTATATTGGTATGACGTTGGCGTCGTCGTCGTCCGGCGTCGTCCAAAGACACATTGGTTTTCGCACTCTAACTTTAGTTTAAGTGAATGGATCATTTTGAAATTTGACCATAAGGTTAAATACCACAAAAGGAAGGTTGGGATTGATTTTGGGGGTTATGGTACCAACAGTTAAGGAATTAGGGGCCAAAAAGGGGCCAAAAATAAGCATTTTCTAGTTTCCAGACAATAACTGTGGAACGGTGTATGGATCTCTCTGAAATTATACTACAAGTTTCCATACCACAAAGGGATGGTTAGGATTTGCTTTGGGGGGATATGGCTCAAACCGTTTAGGAATTAGGGGCAAAAAAGGGGGAAAAACAAGGTTGTCCTGGTTAATGGACAAATACTTTAATACAAAACATAATTTAAAGCAGTGTAAGGGAGATAAATCAAATACATCATTGAAATTATCTCCCTTACACTGCTTTTAAATTATGTATAAAGTAATGGTTAATGAACAATAAAGATAATTTAAAACAGTGTAAGGGAGGTAATCCAAATACAACGTTTTGGTTACTTCCCTTACACTGCTTTTAAATTATGTTTAAAGAAATGCATATTTATAAAGGAAGACCAGTAAAAATATCTGCAAATGTTGCATCTTTTTTTTTTACAAAAAAATCCATATGAAAGATTTGACACTATATTTTTAATTCTATTATAAAATAGATTAAGTTAGCACTATGGTAAATTTAAATGGGTAATTATGGTTGCCAACTCCATTGGAAATTTGAATTGAGATTATGACCATATCTTGAGGGAAAGAATTTTTTTGGGAAAAAAAGGGGGGGGGGGGGATAAAAAGAAATTGTGGGGGGTCAATTTTTTCTCATTTCAGATTTCAGAAATTAAAAAGAATTATTCTTCAAATATTATTTTTTTTTCAAATTTCAAATATTGAAAAATTTCAAGAAGTTATCTTTAATTACACAGTATGGCACATTAGATTTGTAAAATCTTTGATCACATTTATTTATTTGTTATGCCGAATCTAACAGTGTATTTAGATTTTTAATTTTGGGTCCAGTTTTCAAATTGGTCTATTGATTTTAGCAAAAATTGAATATATGAGGTTCTTTGATATGCTGAATCTAAACATGTATTTAGATTTTTGATTTTTGGCCCAGTTTTCAAGTTGGTCCAAATTGGGGTCCAAAATTAAACTTTGTTTGATTTCAACAAAAATTGAATATATGGGGTTCTTTGATATGCTGAATCTAACCATGTATTTAGATTTTTTATTTGTAGACCCCGTTATCAAATTGGTTCATATTGAGGTCAAAAGGGTCCAAAATTAAACTTTGTGTGATTTCATCTAAAATTGAATTATTGGGGTTCTTTGATATTCCAAATCTAACAGTGTATTTAGATTTTTTATTTTGGGTCCTGTTTTTTAAATTGGTCAACATTAAGATCCAAAGGGTCCAAAATTAAACTTAGTTTGATTTTAACAAAAATTGAATTCTTGGGGTTCTTTGATATGCTGAATCTAAACATGTGTTTAGATTTTTGATTATGGGCCCAGTTTTCAAGTTGGTCCAAGATAGGGTCCAGTATTTAAACTTTGTTTGATTTCAACAAAAATTGAATATATGAGGTTCTTTGATATGCTGAATCTAAACATGTATTTAGATTTTTGATTATGGGCCCAGTTTTCAAGTTGGTCCAAATTGGGGTCCAAAATTAACTTTGTTTGATTTCAACAAAAATTGAATATATGCGGTTCTTTGATATGCTGAATCTAACCATGTATTTAGATTTTTTATTTGTGGGCCCCGCTATCAAATTGGTTCATATTGAGGTCAAAAGGGTCCAAAATTAAACTGTGTTTGATTTCATCAAAAATTGAATTATTGGGGTTCTTTGATATGCCAAATCTTACCGTGTTTTTAGATTTTTAATTTGGGTCCCGTTTTTTAAATTGGTCTTCATTGAGGTCCAAAGGGTCCAAAATTAAACTTAGTTTGATTTTAGCAAAAATTGAATTCTTGGGGTTCTTTGATATGCTGAATCTAAACATGTGTTTAGATTTTTGATTATGGGCCCAGTTTTCAAGTTTGTCCAAGTTGGGGTCCAAAATTAAACTTTGTTTGATTTCAACAAAAATTGAATATATGGGGTTCTTTGATATGCTGAATCTAACCATGAATTTAGATTTTTTATTTGTGGGCCCGCTATCAAATTGGTTCATATTGAGGTCAAAAGGGTCCAAAATTAAACTTTGTTTGATTTCATCAAAAATTGAATTATTGGGGTTCTTTGATATTCCAAATCTAACCGTGTATTTAGATTTTTAATTTTAAGTCCCGTTTTTTAAATTGGTCTACATTAAGGTCCAAAGGGTCCAAAATTAAACTTAGTTTGATTTTAGCAAAAATTGAATTCTTGGGGTTCTTTGATATGCTGAATCTAAACATGTGTTCAGATTTTTGATTATGGGCCCAGTTTTCAAGTTTGTCCAAGTTGGGGTCCAAAATTAAACTTTGTTTGATTTTAACAAAAATTGAATATATGCGGTTCTTTGATATGCTGAATCTAACCATGTATTTTGATTTTGGACATTGGACCATAATAGGTAAATTAAAAAAATTCAAGTTCTTAGACTCCATTCTTTCTGTGTCAGAAACCTATGCTGTGTCAAATATTTAATAACAATCCAAATTCAGAGCTGTATCAAGCTTGAATGTTGTGTCCATACTTGCCCCAACTGTTCAGGGTTCAACCTCTGCGGTCGTATCAAGCTGCGCCCCAGCGAAGCATTTTATTAATACATATGTTACTTACTTTCAGATCTGTTTCTGGTTAATAGAGAATGGATTTAGAGTTCTGATAGCTGCATGTGATACCTTCAGAGCTGGTGCTGTAGAACAGCTACGAACACACACCAGGAAACTGAATGCCCTTCATCCCCCAGACAAAAATGGACAACACATGGTACAGTTGTATGAGAAGGGCTATGGCAAGGATGCAGCAGGAATTGCCATGGAAGCTATCAATTTTGGTGAGAGTTTTATACTTATTGCAATCTTTTACATGGAATGCAAGGTTCTATTTTTGTAGAAAAAAAAGTATAATTTCATTCTGTACATAACATTAAAATACATGCAGATCACTGATTAAAATGAGTGGTTCTGTTTCCATTCATTGAAAAAATAACAAGTCTTGAAAAAGTGCGAAGAGGCACGTGTTTAGATTTGAAAGATGAAAGCAGCAATTGATGTAATGGAATGCCTTACTGTATATTCAGAAATTAATGCATGCATTTCTTATAACGAATCACCAGGGTTCCCCTGGTGCATTTTTCTTTTTCACCACCTCTTTTGCCAAAACAATGTATTTTTCACCACTTTCAATTTTTTTTTCACCAAATAACATTAAAAAAAATTGGTTTAAAATGTTCCCTCTTTCTAACAAAAAAAATTGATTTGCTGCATTGTTTTCTATTATAATTCTACATATCTATTTTTAATCTACATTGTAATAAATAAACACTCATAATAACAAACAGATTTCCTTTCCAGTCCACCGTGAAAAGAAAAAGTCAAGATGAAAAACCAGAGACTTATGATAAATGTATTATATGTCTTTTGTAAAACTATGCTTAAAACATGTGTGTCACTAAAACCATTGTTAAGTACCCACTTCAAAACATTATTTCTAACAAAGTTAAAGGATAAAATATAAGGCAAAGATTTTTATTCCTTTTGAATATATTTCTTCATCACAACAGTTTTCTTTTCGGGACCATTGTTAAAAGAAAAAGATGAGACGTAAAAATATGCCTTAAACACGTGTGTCGCTAAACAATTGTGAACTAGACACTTCAAAACAATTATTTCTATCAAAGTTGTAAATAAATCCTTTAGGCCACATGTGATGCCATTTAACCACACCATTTCATTTAACAAAACAATCAACACCTTTATTAATTAGTCCATTGTTGCCGATAGCTACATATGTATAAAATGCAGTCAGCTGATTATTGATTTTCTAATGAGTTCAAGGATAATTCCCAGTATTTTCTGATCAGGGAAAAGTCTGAGAAACCTGAAAAAGTAAGCAAGATGGACAAAGTTGAACCGTTATATTTCTTTCGCCAAATTCTTTTGCCAATAATAAATTTTATTCGCCACAATTTTAATTTTTTTCACAAAATGCGAAAATGGCAACTGTCAGCGTAAACCCTGCGAATCACTGATTACTGATAGAAATGTGACATCTTATTAATGCAGTTGCAAAATTTTGTGAAGGAAAATTACTATTGAAATCATAATTGCAACTTTTGACTGAGAACTTGATACTGTGAATTTTTTGCATTAATTAAAACATCGCAATAATTTCTGAATTTACAGCATTTTACAAAATTTTGAAGTATGTGTTATTTATCATTCCAGCTCGAGACTGCCATATTGATGTGGTGCTTGTAGATACTGCAGGTAGAATGCAGGACAATGAGCCATTGATGAGGGCTCTTTCTAAGGTAGTTAAAAAGTTTTTAAAGTGATATGCAGGGATGATCAAAGACATTGAAAGATAACTGGTGGAGACATCAAAAAATATTTAAGGATTGAATTGAATTAATTTTGCTTAAAATTTAATTAATATTTTAAGAATATTTTAAGAATCATATCTTTTTTGATTCTTTCAATATTTTGTTAAGAATAACAGCAGTGATGTTCTATTTATAGTATATCTCAAAGGTTCTATCTGTTAAAACTGTTGCTGTCTTCAGTTTCAAATATATTGCCCATTTTTATTTTCAGCTCATCAAAGTAAATCAGCCGGATCTGGTTTTGTTTGTTGGTGAAGCCCTGGTTGGAAATGAGGCTGTTGATCAGCTTACCAAGTTTAACCAGGCCCTTGCTGACCATTCTAATATGACAAATCCCAGACTTATTGATGGGATAGTTCTTACTAAGTTTGATACTATTGACGATAAAGTAAGTGGAATTTTATTATATATAAAAGTGTCATGTCTATTTTTAAAATACTTTGCAGTAAAGTAGGAGACTTTCAGAATAGGCTGAATCATTTGTTGAACCATTACAATTTTACAATTTTGTTTAATTAGTTTAAAATTGCAACTGATCATTGAATAGTTGATGTTAATTGCTTATTACTGTTTTCAAGTAAATATGAAATTTTCCTTTCACATATTTAGTGTGAATTTAGGTCTGGTGTACTTGAAGGTTATTCCAGAAATGTATACAGTGCAAAGCAATTTTAATTATACATATTTGGGGCTGTTTTCTAACTAATAAATTTAAGATTTTCTGGTTTTTGTTTAAATTTGTGTTTATTAGGTATCAATTTCAATGATCTCACGACTTGCTAGAATCATACACCTGATTGCAAGTGTTTGATTACAACTATAACGATTCCACACATGGCAGGTGTGCTTAACTCCAATCTTAATTGACTAGGATTGTCAGTTTTACTACCGAATGCTGGTGGTTCTCTCAGGGCACTCTGGCTTCCTCCACCAATAAAACTGACTGCCACGAAATAGCACAACAGTGCTGAAAATGATGTTAAACACAAATCAATCAATCAATTGTAACTTTTTTTCATTGACTTTTGTCTTTTTCAGGTTGGTGCTGCAATATCTATGACATATACTACAGGACAACCAATTGTATTTGTTGGTACAGGACAAACATACACAGATCTCCGTAATCTTAATGTCAAAGCAGTTGTCAATGCTCTTCTCAAGTAATGACTTACAAGAACTTCTTATGTCAGTGATTTAAGAACTGTTTCATGTGTTAAAAGATCTACTAATTACAATTCTGATGCTGAATTTTAACCTTTGTACTGTATCCATTTCAGAAATTATTGATATTCTGTAATAACGATATTCTCTTTTAACACTTACATCCAAATACATAGAAATGTGAAACTGTTGGTCATTCTTTTTTCAATGTCATGGAGATTTATAACAAAAGTTTTAATTTTCTATGGTAAAAGACATATCCTCTGATTCAACTGTAACAGTTACTCTCAGAGTAAATAGAAAAAAGAACATCAGTGATACTGAAAATTTCAGTTATTAAGTTTACAATGCTTTAAATGAAATACTGAAATTTAATTACATAAGGAATGATCTTTTCAATACTAGAATGTGTATCAAAGGAGATAGTGTGTATCAACACGATATTGGATATATTATTGTTATGTCTCAGTCCTCATCATTTCTTGTATGGTATGTTTAATTTGATCTGTTCTTTTGTCTTGTTACAATTTTTCTGATATTTTCACCATCATCATCATCTATTTCACTAATTCATTCACCATTTTAAATCAATCATTAAATTTAAGTTCGGTATCATAAGTAGGTCTTGTGCATTGGATATGGAAGTGAATGACTGAAGGCATTTTCATTGGACTTTTTTTTGTCATTCAGATTAATTTGCTTCAAGTGCTTTTTGAATTTTCTTCATTATTTTGACACAAAACTTCATTCATTATTTAATACTCCATTGAGCTTAAAATGCTATGGTGTTTTTGATAGTTGCAATTTTTTCAATTAATATTCATGCACATAATTGCTCATTGTGAATACAATAGAAAGAGGTCTGATATTACCCATAATGTAGTTTGAGAATATTTTTTTAATTTAATAAGTTTGAAAAAATCTTGTGGTTAAGCAATATTTCAGTTCTAATTTTCATACCTTTACAAAAATTAAATCATCATTTATTTAGCAAGTTTACCAAAGTTATTACTTTCCTAGAATTAAAACTTTCTTATTTCAACACTTTTGTCAAAGAAACTACATTCTTTCATTGTTTCTTTTAATAGAGTCATGTGACTTCATATTTTATATTTGTATACGAGTCATGTGATGTAATATTTTAAACTTCCTTACCTCTGTTGTTAACATATTTTTACCTGTTGATAATGTGTACTGTAAATTCAGAAATTATTGCGATGTTTTTATTATTGCGAAAAATGCGACAGGGTTAAAATCGCAATAATTTAAACTCGCATTTTGAAATTTTTTATATGAATTAAACAGGATTTTTCTCAATATCGCAAAAATTAAAATCGCATTTTAGTCTAAAATGACAAAATCGCAATAATAAATGCACGCATTAATTTCTGAATTTACAGTATATTTTATTTATTATTATTTTGTGTTGTGATTTGCATACAAATGTTCTTGTTTTCCTGATGTTTCAACAGACAGAGAAAGACAATTATCTGAAAATATTTATTTAGAATATGAATAAAAGAAAAATTTTCAAAGGGCAATTACTCAATTAAGTAATTTATTTGTTATTGTATTCTGTACTATAAGATATGGATTGGGTTCACCTTTGTTAACTTTTTACATGAAATAAATGAAAAATATCAATGATCTGTTTTAAAAAAAGTTTATTATATACCTAGAAACCTTTCAAATATCACAAGTTCAAGAAGGATACAACACCATGACTAATAGAAAAGACAAAAAACAAGTGTATAAAAAATCCTAAAGATGGACCAACAAAATCTCAACATTAAACTAGAGTTGTACTCAGATACTCCAGACACATAACTTTGTAGAATTTTTTCATTAAAGCAAAGGAAATGATAGGTTAAGGTGAATATTCAACTCACTATATAGTTTGAATAATGTTTGCCTTTGTGACTGAATAGCAAAATGTTAAGATTTCAGACAACACAATATGGTTGAGAACAAATTTGTTTCCCAAATAACCCTACACATTCTTAGAAAAATTGGCCTAAATGGTCTGATTAGTTAATCTGTCTGTCTGCACTGAAGTTTTAATCCTTTTTGTCTCGTCTGCTACGAAATTCGCAGAATGTGAGACAGGTATTATAATCCAGTGGGGGTGTCGACGCCAAACACTATTTGTATACTTTATATTTCAAAAGCTAGAAGACCTGGATGCTTCATACCTTGTATGCAGATACATTATTACTAGGTTTCTGTCTGTCATATGTCCATTGTCGTTGACCTCATTTTCATGGTTCAGTGACTGCTTGAAAAAAAAATGGTGTTTTTTTTTTTGGAAAGTGAAATACTCTCTTATTATGAGTAAAAGGATAACTATATTTGGTATATAGGTTCCTTGCAAGGTCTGCATGTTTGTCAGGTAGGTTTCATCTGACCTCAACCTCATTTTATGGATCAGTGATCAAAGTATAAGTTATGTTGCCAAGTCTGTATTTTAGATACTATAAAAAGCAGGTAAACTATATTTGGTGTATGGAATTATTGTATGGTGTACATATCCGACTCGCAGGCTTCATCAGACCTTGATCTAAATTTCATGGTTCATTGAACAATATTTAGTTTTTCAGGTTTGGTCTATTTCTCGGATACTATAAGCAATAAGTCCACTATATTTGTTGTATGGAATGATTGTAAGGTGTACATCTCCGACTGTCAGGTTTCATCTGACCTTGACCTCATTTTCATGGTTCATGGAACAATGTTTTGTTATTGTGGTTGGTCTATTTCTCAGATACTATAAAAACAGGTCAAATATATTTGGTGTATGAAATAAATGTAAGGTTTACATGGCTGTCTGGCAGGTTTCATCTTACCTTCTCATTTTAATGGTTCATTGGTCAATGATAGGTTTTGTGATGATGCCAGTTTATCAGATAATATAAACAATAGTGTTGTGAAGTGATTCGTTACGCCAAAATTAGAATTAAAACACAAACCCAACTGAATGATCTATCCTTTAATATTCCATTTGCATTATTTTACATCATTTAATAACTGTTAACATCTAAACAAAAATATAAATGTTCTTGGTTATATATAAATATATATCTCCGTTAACTCCGTTGCACGATTTTATAATGATTAAATAACAAAAGAAAAAATACAATTGAAGGAGTCATTTAACAATTAACGGAGACACATTATATTATATTCAAGCGGAGTTACAGGTAAATAAAGAGGAGTCAAAGTTTTGTTACAAATAGGTCAACAATAATTGGTGTCGGGAATGATTGTAAGATGTACACGTCTGTCTGGCAGGGTTGATATTACCTTGACATCATTTTCAGGGTTCATTGGTATGAAATGTTAAGACTTTGTGGTTTGATCTGTTTCTCTGGTACTATATGGTACAAGACCACTATACTTGGTGTATGGAATGATTGTTAGGTGTACATGTCTGTCTGACATGGTTCATCTGACCATGACTTCATTTTAATGGATCTTTGATAATGTTAAGTTTATGTGATAGTTGTAGTAAAACCTTCATATTACAGACTTTCAACAGGAATCCAATCATTTAAGTAAAATAGGCGAGACATTTCAGCGTGTACACTCTTTTTTAGGATTGCTAGTTTTCCTGTCAAAGGTTGTTGGTTCACTCAATGTACTCCAGTTCCTTAACGATGATACGAGACTCAAACTTTCATTTATTTGTTCATTCTCAATAACTTTACTCTTAAGATTTTATCTTTCAATTGTCATTTATGCTGCACATCTAGCATGTCACAAACAAATGATGCATTAAGAATCAATGAAGATATTTTTTTACAAAGTAATTTTAAAACATGAGAATGGTTGATAGCAAGGACTATCAGCTTGGTTTAATGAGAAGATTCACATGAACATATATTTCAATTGATTTAATTATACCATACTTATCCATTAAATACTAGTAAATGTACTTTTAAAAATAAAAGTATATTAACTGGACAAAATATAAAGAATTAAAAAAACTTATTAAAAACACTTCCATATAAACTGTGAAAAACTTCAGAAAGGTAAATGCCACATTTTCTTGATTTTTTTTTACAGTTATGTTCATTCATATTTTACTGGAAAACATGGTATTTCTTAACAGAAACTTCTTGTTGAGTGTATCTCATTAGCCAAATATGACATTTGGTCATTTGCGATAGTATAATGTAAGAATATGTCATGACAGTCAACTGAATAATTTCTTATAAATTAAAATAAGGAGATCTGGTTTGATTGCCAATGAAACAACTATCCATCAGAGGCCAAAGGACAAGGTTGTAAATATCTTTAGGCGAACCCATAGCATATAGTAAGGTCTAACAGTTCCCGACATCACAAAATATTTATCAATTCAGAAGAGAAAACCAACGGCCTGATTTTGAAAAAAACATGTTTCTTTCGAAGGTAAAATATTTCATCAAATTTGGCGATAGTTACCTTTTTCTTGGTATTGTAGTCCAAATCAAGAGAAAACTTGTATTCCAAAAAATTTTATGTATTTAATATTTTCTTATAGCTTGACATTTTCTAATTTTTTCAATTTTAAGTTATAAAAAAACAAATTTTAAAGAATGACCTTCTGCTAATCACATATTACAACAGTACATATTTGCAATCTTTTCTTGAAATGGTTGCGAACTGCATTTTAGCAAGGTATTGTTAATTTCTGGAGGCACTCTACATGTGGAATAATAAATTGCACCTAGAACACCATCTGCTATCTTTATCTAACGAATAAATTTACAGAGGGATATTTCGTGCAATGACGATTTCATTTCAGGTCTCTTTTCTTCACTTTCTGGGGTTTGCAGTTTATGAATGGAAGATAAGTTACATTTTTTGTTAATATTTTCATAAAATTTAAACAAACATAATTGTAATTTTTAGCAACAGTATAAAAACAATATTATGTCAATGTAGGAAAAGTATTCTCTTTTTGGATTCAGCCCGACATTAAAGTACTTGGTAAACCTCCCCTTCACCAGTTAGCCTCATACACATTTTTTTTTTTATATATTTCTGACATTGACCTGTCACTTGTGTCAACATTATATATTTTTCAGACAGATCAATGTTTTGGAAAAGTATTACAAATATTACTAGTTAAGGGGGTACGCAACACTTTGACTAAAATAGATTTGGCTCGTTTAATTTTCATAAAATTTAGACAACATATCTATTTTGACCTGTTGACAAACATGAAAATTTCAAGAAGTTTGAACCACACAATTTACAGAAATAATTTCATTGGATATATAGCAGTTTGACAAACGCTATTTTTGATCGTTAAGACGCTTGATTTTTCTTTACAAATTGTAGGTGATGAAAACGTTCAGAGCTAATTTTAAGAGTTTACTCCCTTAGGTGTTCTATACCCCCTTAATATAGTACATGCTTTTTATATCTTGAACTACAAGCAAAAAAAAATTCTAAAATGTATAATGGAAAAAAAAAGACATTCAAAATTTCTCTTTTTTACAACGTCCACAACATGAACAGTTACATTTACATTTATAAACATTTGGATCAAAGTTAGGAAGTATTGGAATATATTTCAACCATGTTACATTTTTCAGTAATTTTGAAATAGAAAGTATTTCATAAACTGTCACATCTTCTTCATAATCACAATCAGAAATTTCTTCTACATCTTGATTAGAGGTATCCCACTCGGCTAAACCTCGCTCTAATTTTGACCCTGAAAGAGAGTAACGCAAACAAATGATATTTGGTAAAAAAAACAGAAAGAAAATATATGCCTACATTAAAGGTTCGAAAAATTTATGAAATCAAGGTTTTTTTTCACTATATGTAAGCTATCCTTGCATTTAAGCTTATCTTTTGTATATTATCGTATGCATTCGTAAAATGAATTGTGATAGGTCATATATGAGTTTTGTTCTTGTCTGAGATTGCTAGAACACAAAGTAGTCTCAGTTCTTTTGAACCATCGTTTAACTTATTGAATTTATAAATGTTGTTTTACACGTTGCTGTGGTTAATAAGTCCTGCTTTTGCAAAGCACACATACAAGAAATGACGCTGCTGATTAAATAGATACAAGGAATCCATTTGTTTGGATGATTGGGTCTCAAAGGGTTGTTATCATTTTATACTGCATTGTCAAGTATAATAAATTTTATGCTATTATTTTGGTTTCAATAGCATTATTTATAAAGTCTGTTTGTTTTGCTCACACATTGTTGTCAATATAATGGAATTCTATACGACTGTCATACAAGAGAGAGGTTTAGCTAGCTATAAAATCAGGTTTAATCTACCATTTTCTACATAAGGAAATGCCTGTACCAAGTCAGGAATATGACAGTTGTTTTCCATTCGTTTGAGCTTTTTGATTTTGCTATTTAATTAAGGACTTTCCGTTTTGATTTTTTCATGGAGTTCGGTATCATTGTTATTTTACATACTATACATCAAATAGGAATTCGCACATTGGGACCCTTAAGCTTTCTATATTGCGCTAAATTACCTGAAAATGTATTGTCTAAGAAGAAAGCGACAAATCCACCAATCATTGGATTTGATAGAATAGTTTGTAGCAGGCGATCTAGGTCTGGTAGGCCTACAAAAATGGAAGAAATTTGTACTATCAGTCGTATAACCATAACAAGTTGATGATAATCATGATGACTGCATATTGCAGTATTGTAGTATTTCAACTTCAGAAAGTTAGTAAGTGACTTATTTTGTAGTTTTGATGAGGCTGTTCATATCTTGTAGCACTTCAACTTGTGATTTAATGCTAAAAATTTCCACTTGAAATACGGCTTCTTAGGATAGAATTAAGATATTAAATTGCAGTGGACGGGGACTGAAGACATCGTTGTGTATCGATATACTAAGAGTATTATTTATTTTGGAGTAAAAATTGTCAAAATACACAATAACGGTAAACAACTCAGTAACTAATTCAATTAAAAAAAATCGAATCGCGAGAAAATGTTTGAAAGCTTTAGATGCTGTGTATCTATTGGTTTGATTATTAATACAGTGTATACTAGTTTTTCGTTTATTGTTTTTGTCATAAATAATCAGACAGTAAGTTTTCTCATTTTAAATGTTTTACACTTTGTCACCCAGGGAGGTCTTTTACAGTTAACTTCCAATACGAGCTTTCCTCAATTGTTAAAAGCCGTAATTAATTGTTTACATTCTATTCCTTTAATCTCTAATGGATAATTTTCTCATTGGTAATCAAACGACATCTTATTATTTTTTTTATGTATATATCTGAGCTATTTGATAAACATACTTTATGACAAGAATTGGAAAAGTTGCATCAATGGTAAAAAAAGTATTCATTTAATGCATACATTTACACAATACCACATCAAATAAACTCATAATAAATACTAGAATTAACAAGTTTATAAAATAAAAATATCACCTGTTGAAAGTGACTCTGGATGTTTCTTTGTCCAATTTGGAACCATTAAGCCAATTAACAAAGATATTCCAATGACAGCTAAATTTCTAGAGGAATTTAAGTCTATATACTGGAGGTTTGACATTACAAGTCCAAGAAATGTTCCAAATGCAACAACAGATATGCCTCCAATGACTGGGTCAGGTATAGTAACAAACACAGCAGTAAGTTTTCCTAACACAGAAAACACTATCAAGATAATTGCAAAAACTTGATAAACTCTTCTACTAGCGACCTATAATAAAAGACATTTTAAAATGCAATTATTTTTACTGTATTATTACACGTTAACAACGACGAAGGCCTCATTTTGAGAGCTCGATAAAGTATTATTACAAAAACTTCAATGTGATATTTTAATTATTCAGCTTTATTTTTTTATATTTTGAAACCAAAATGTTAATTGTGAAAAAAATGAATCATTTTACATTTTTACTAACAATAATTAATATATACATATCATTTACTGTTAACAAAAGTTCACTGATTATTTATGAATGTTTGTGTGTTCTGATTTTGCAAAGATTTAATTTTAAAGTATCTTACGTACCTTTGTCATTCCAATGGTACCAATATTTCCACCATATGTTGTTGTAGCATGTCCTGCTCCAAAAAATCCAGCTATCATACTCATGAAGCCCTCAAATGCTATCCCACGATTCACTGCATGGAGTGGTGGTGGAGGAACATGAGACATTTTTGCACATGCGTAGTAATCGGCTATTGAGTCTATAATTGAAGTCAGTGTTGCAGTAAAAAATGCCACAAACACACCACCATCAAAACCAATTGATCCAAATTGACCTAGGTTGAGAAAAGTTCGACATTTTAACGCCTTCGTGTATATTTGACAGAAGGAAAATAAAATAATATACTGTCATTGTTTCAGTACATTCTAAAATAGAGGTCAAATATACTAAGATACTGACAGTTTTTCTCCAATGTCAATCACAAAAGAAGGATAATTAGTTTCCGCAAGAATGTAGACTGTTTGTCGAAAAACACATCCATAAAATTTGGTCGTATTCCATTTTTTGTGCATATTTAGAATGTCACAACATTATTGGATTAATGATGTGTCACATTCGTATTTTCTTATTTTTCTAGTATCATTATTACAGTCATGCATCATGTATGGACCATGACGAGATCGGTTATAAATAATGCATATTTTAAGGTTTTTCTTGTCGTAGAACACACCGAGGGGTGTCAGGATTGATTAAATGAAAGACCGACCGTAGGGAGGTCTTTCATTGGGCAACCCCGACACCCCGAATGACTTATATACCGTCGAAAAATATTCTGTTTTTTACGATTTTGCAGAAATTTCTATCCTATTTTACCGATCATTAAAGTGGGAGGAGATTCTGCTCAAATGAGTCTGGTTATAACCACGCCCAACATTTCAATTATAATGTATATGCAAATAAGGTGAAAATAATTCACAAAAATAAAACTCACTAATTAAGATATAAAAGTGTGTAATCATTGTCTAGTTATATTAAAATAAATCCGCATTACGACCATGGATGATATAGATTTGTTAGAGTGGGACCCGATTTTTCTTACACAAAGTTCGTATTCTAAAGTATGTGAAAAAGAAGAAAGTGATATTCTAAGTTGTTTTGATTTAAAACAAGGTGATAATGATTTGGGTATTACCCGTAATCAATTTAGACATGGTCAACCAGAGACAGCAAAATCCCTTCAAAACAAGATTAAGGAATCGGTACCGAAAAATTCAGTCAAAAAATATAAATGAGGTTTTAATGTTTTCAATAGTTGGCAAGCCGAGCGCCGTTTACGTCCGATATCAGATAATTTAGGAATTCCTCCGAATTGTTTGGAAAAGGATTTGGTACACATGGACAAAACAGAACTGTCCACTTCGTTAGAATATTTCATTGCCGAGGCCAAAAAAAAAAGATGTAGGTAAATATCCGTCCAACAGTAGTTATGACCTGTTTTCCTCAGTACAGGGATATATTCGTCATCAAAAATCATCTAGTATAAACTTCTTCACGGATCCCGAATTTCCTCGGGTTAGACAGTGTTAGATGCTGTCATGAAAGAAAGGGCCACCGAAGGTCTCGGTGCAAATACGCGCAAGCAGGCTGATGTGATATCGGTAAATGAAGAAACGGCATTATATGATAAGGGTATCCTTGGCGTTGATAATCCCCAACAATTTCTAGACACGTTGCTTTATAATTGTGGTTTGCATTTTGCATTAAGGGGAGGCAATGAACACCGACGGCTCAGACTTAATACTAATCCGCAAATAACTGGCCCGTTTCAAGATAAGGATGCTAAATTAAGATACCTGTTGTACAAAGAGGACGTTTCAAAAGCTAACGCAGGTGGCCTTAAGCACAGAAAAGTTGCTCCAAAATGTGTCCAAGCATTTGAAAACCCAGAAAACAGGAATAAATGTATTGTTACAGTATTTGAAAAGTACAAGTCACTTTGGTAAGTAGCTTATTATTTATGAATAACTTTATAAAAGGGGGGGGGGGGGCTTATATTTAACGCGTTAACACAGATTATTTTTCAACACTTACAAAAAAACAAACCCTGACAAATGGTATTCCTAATACGTGAGGATGACAATAGAAGAGGGGAGAAAGATACCAGAGGGACATTCAAACTCATAGATCGAAAATTAACTGACAACGCCAGTGGTATCCCCCCTCCCCCAAATTTAAAATATGAATCCCTCTCTGTGCCGATTTCCTTATAAAGGTATAGAACATGAGAAAATATGAAAACTGAATCGTGTAAAGAATATACAAACAATGTATAGAACTTTTAATATAAACTTTAAAAAAAAACAAAGGCAGCAGAAAATCGTCTAATGTACATGTAACACATCAAAACAAAAAACACAAAACAGACATCCAAAGGTCGCATTAAATTTTCCAATACGAATCCACAGGATTTCATACTCTTTTCTTTAATATATCTTCTCATGCTTGAATATGATAAATTCTGAAATAAAAGTGTTTTGAACAGTTTTTCGTGGTTGATCTAATCTAACGTAATGTCCTTTTAATTTACCTATTATTTAAATCATCTTTACATTATTACATTATGTGTGTTTGAAGTAAAATTTTACATTACGTTTTCTGGTATTTCAGTCCAACAAATGGAGGAAAGGATTGTTTTTACCTTACAACTTTAAAACATGTCAAAGATGGACAATGGTATAGCAAAACTCAAAACTGAATACAAGGCACTGTGAAACGGTTGTGCACAAGTATTGGACTGGAAAACGTACAAACCATAGCCTCCGAGCATCAGCAGCTACACGTCTTAATAATGCTGGCATACAAGAACAACGTGTGGCCGAAACAACAGGTAATATAATAGTAAAATAAAACGTTATAATTTCTAGTCTTTTATTTTTAACATTCTTATTTAGCACACACAAAATGGCATGAAAAAAAACACGAAGGGTTTCCTTGTCTGCATGCTATTACCCAATATCTGTTCTTTTTCACTGTTGTTTCAATTGCTTTAATAGAGAACTGATGATTGTAACAAAAATGTATAATTAGCTTTGTACAGAGACATCACGAAACGAACAAAGATAAGGGATTGTATCTGTCCCGATCACGAATATTTGGGTAATCAGATTTACTATTAATTGCCCGCTCGTCTGTTTGTCCGGCATGCTTGAGTTACTGGTCAAATTTTGAGTTTTATTCCATTTATTGTGGTTTATGAATATGCATTTCAATAAAAAAGTGCTAACGTAAACACAAAAATAATTATAAGCTATGTATTGCAGGTCATCGTAGTAAAGCAGCAAGAGTTTACAAAAGGACTTCTGCCGATCAACAAATAGAGGCATCGAACATCTTGTATGGATTAAGACCGTCAGATGGAAGTAAGAAGGCAAAACCATCAGCAGCTGCCGGTGCACCAGTTGGAAGTACTTCGGTTGAATGTTCAACAGACGAGAGTGACAAAAAAATGTGACTTGCAACTTTTCTTTCAATTTTTCGCATGTAAAATAAAAGGAATAAAATCTGTTTACAAACAGTAACAGTAGTATTTTAATCAGGATAAAATAATGCATTATTTTAAGCCTTGGAGCACATTTCATTGAAAATGGTATCGTCCAGGTTGATTCTGCAAAAGAATGACCTATCGTTCAGAAAGAAAATAACTCCATATAGGTATATAAATTCGAATAAACAAGGTTATTTCATATACATAAAAATATTTCACAAGAAAGTTCAACAATGTTTTTATACAAGAATTTTGAATAACGAATGTACCGAATGTACCTGGTATATTCTGTTTATTTGATGGGGAAACGCTTGTTATGATCACCATTTGAACAATTTGTGCATGTTTTGTTATTACATTTTATGCCTGTACTATAGCCAGCAAGGGTAATTTATTGTTGTACCGATTTATTCGCAGTGAAATGTTTATTAGTATCTGGCCACTGCTGCATTACATCTTGTTTACCGTGCAAATTACAGAAAGTATGATTTTTAATGGAGGTTACTTAAAATTGTATTACTGTTAACCTGTCTCTGCTACATATTTAAGAGATTACGTTGAAAGAGCCATTAATACAATTATCGTTTTTTTATTCTTTTCACCTTTAACTGCACCACAACTTAGTATTCTTTAAATAAGTAAACATTCCAAATTGTGTCTTGCTTCTATCCAAGAATTATATGCCATTACTATGGCTGATGTAATAAATCTAAGTACACTGTACGGGTCTGTTCTAACCTGGATATGGGACATAGAACCATGGTGTTTTATTGATGGTACCAATACCATAGTCTGCTCTTGCTTTATACTGTTCACTGTTCGGGTCATCCGAAATAGAATTGGTACTAGTCATGATTCCAGATACTGTCCAACCAATCATCATTGCCAGAAGAATCTGTAATATAAAAAACGAATAAGTAACAACGTATTTATATTGTTTCCACATTAAAGGATATCATGTGCAAGTAATTTCCATTTCAAAGTCAACGCCTTTACAACCCCTTAAATCTAAAAAAGGAAGATTTGATTATTTCAGTTACAGTTTCACGTAAGAACCATGAAATTACGAAAATTTTGTTTGATTGATATTGTAGTCATGAAGATAACGTGGATCCATGGATGCTGTATTTCATTGGGAAATAAAACAATACTATAGAACACCACGTGATTATTTTCTAACCATGAAATGTAATTATATACGATTGAAACTTAAGAAACAAAACAAAAGCTTACAGATTTTCCTTTTATACAAACTTGCATTTACACGGCTTCTGCGAAAGTTAAACACCTCGCCGGTCTCGTTGTAGCGTACTCGCCTCTAATGTGCAAGGTCCTGGGATGGTACCGATCAAACCAAAGGCTAGAATATTGGTATTCGCCGCTTCCCTGCTAATTCCACAGCATTAAGGAATAAGAGCAAAGTCCCGATGGCGCAGAGTCAGAATAATGTTACCATGTGAACTAACAGTACACGTTATAAACCCTACGATGTATGTCGGTCTAGTACAAAGTATGGTTCATATTCAAATCACATTAACATTGTCTCGTTCTGATATGCGCTTAACAATTGCCACTGGACGTTAAACGTAAATCCATCATCATTTCCGATAGTTTCTCTTTGTGGAATTGCTGCTGGGAACGTAATCATGACTTACAGCTAACACTTGTTGTAACGGGAATCTTATGATGTGAAAACCTTGTGATCTAGACCATACTGGTAATGGCATGGCCCATCCTCCTAGATATACCGCTAATATGATACCTATAGCTGTCGTTCTGCAAATACATGATAAATAAATTTGAGATGTTACGTTTATAAGATTCTCTTTACCTTTCTGTGTCATTGCAGCTTGTAAGTCAGGTAATACTTATAAAGTTGAGAGACTAAAAACAAGATCTGATTCTTATTTATTCATCTTAAAGTGAGCATGAATGAGTATACTGTAATACAACAATACACTTCCTTAACAATTAAAGTAAAAAAGTTTAAACAACAGTGAACAAACGGTTTTTAATGCCACGAAAGAAAAGAATATCATTTTGTTGAAAAGCTGTATTCTCCGTTGTGATCCGTGGCAGTGAAAAATATCTATAAGGTTTCAGCAGCACCACTTACATGGCTGATATGCCCCAATGAGCGTCGCAGAGACCTGTGACAATTGTGTTGAATTCTATTCCAATAAGAAGCAATGTTGGAATAACTGTTATTGGACCTATAAATTTTAACAGTAATCCGACCAGTCCCGTCAATCCTATTAAACAATGTAACAATCCTGCAAATATAAGACTTCCTTGGAGCTGCAAATACAATATGTAATGGTTGATTAAATTAGGGTTAATGACAATCAATAGCTGCATCATATTATATAATTATGTAAAACACCATGTGTACTTTAGAGAAGTTATTTATAGTATACCTAAACAAATAAATTAATTAATTGATGCATTAATTAATTATGAATGGTCAAAATCTTAATAAAAAATAAAGTAATACATCCATAATTAATATTCGACAAAAAATGAGGAAATTGAACAGTTAAATATATCAAGAAATCTCTATCTGAACATTACTTTTGACCGTTTTTTATTTAATTATTTGAAATATCAATTTTGTATGTGACTTTTGTCTAAAATATCAGTCTACAACGAAAACAGATAATTCCATAATACCGTCTGTAACTTGGGTATATGTAATCTGAGCGTAACCTTTCAAGATCAAATGTCTCATTCCCAATTGTAAACAACCTCTCTGTGAAAAAGAAATATGAGATAAACGTTATCTATATAAGATATTTACAGTGGTTTTTTTTTATAAATAATTGAAATAATTCTGTGAATCGATTGAAATCTACAAGGAAGTTTCAAGATTTACCGTTACCTTTTGCTTTTACACAGGAAGGGTTTGGGTTTTTTGTTTGTTGTTGTAAGTTTTGTTTTGCTTTACATTGTTGCTCTTCCATTGATACGGTATTTTTTGGTATATTTACTATTAGCCAAATGTTGAATTATATGAAACACTAAGATTTTGTTTCCCCAGGAATAGATGGACTGATCTAGATTTGGTACTATTCTTTATTTATTTTTTTCGTTTTCAATGCCTTCCATGTCATTTTTTAAATTAGCTTTTCATCTGTTTTGATTGGATAGTCACTGATGATTTTTATGCAGACGAAACTTGCGTTTGGCGTTTTAAATATTATTCTGCTATCTTTGATGAGCTTTTACAACCACTGAGTCGGTTCCACGTTCCGTTCCAAAAGGTACCATCAACGTAGCAGCTAACGCTTTTATCTGGACATGAATTATCGTATATAATCTTTATTTCAAGAGGATAACTCATTAGCAAAAGCAAATCCTCCTCCGGGTAATAAGTATCATTTATACGGTCGTTTTCATAAGTTAACTGTTAATAAAATGCTGAATTATTCAAAAAAACACCCCTCCTCAAACCCCATGTCATAGATGACATTAGCTGTAATTGTTTAGAATTTATGGTTTATAATGCAATCTAGCTTAGTATTCGATTCAGCATTCCAGTATTTCTAAAATGATGTGACACTGATGTTCATTTTATTGACGAAACGCGCATCTGGCGTAATGAGTTATAAGTCTGATATATCTTTGATGATGAAAGTGTACAATTATTAGATCAACGCCATTGCTGGCGGACGTTTTTCCAGTCCAGTAGTCAGCACACCAGTGCTGACATGAAATTTCATTGATAAGGTAATTTCGTTTTACTGTGAATAACAAAAGAGACGGAAGATACCGAGGGAACATTAAAAACATTAAAAAAAGTCGAAGAGAAACTGACAACGCAATAAAAAAAAAAGACGAGAGAACAAGTCCACAAAACACTGTAAAGAAAACTAAAGACCGAGAAACACGAACCCCATTAAACTTGGTGAAGTTTTTTTTACCCCAAGTGATATATGGCCAGGTTTGGCTCAATATATTTGAGAATGTTTTGTTTTCAATGCTCACAAACTGCGTATTTGAATTGGTATTCCAGTTTCTTGGTTTCATGTATGACTCAAAGCTTAGTATATGACTCTCGTCTTAGTTTATACATTAGCTGTTATTTATGCGACATACGCATAAGCAGACAGACTTATTCCTAAATGTTTTTGCACCCCTATTGCCAGACTTATTTTTGAACTCATATGAAGCAAAATTCACACAAAACCTTCTTAGAGATAAAACAAAATAAAAAATGTATATATATATTGCTGATTTCAATGAGTGCTTATATCTTATATATCTAGAAGATATGTTTCATATCTTGACCTTTCCTCGAAATTAACACAGACGGAAGACTTCAAAATAAAATTAATGACAAACATGATGATTTCAACTTTCCATTGCTCAGCAGTAACACCATCTGCCACATCGTATGGCGTTTACATACTTCAATAGATTTATTACGCTTGTGCATCTTCCCACTATTCCGACTTCATTAGCAGGAGGCGTGCTCCTTAAACAAAAACTGCTCCAACAGAGTTATGGGAAAAAGAACGACCGCAATCTACACTACATAAGTTTTATGGTTTTATGGTCACCATCAAGAATTAGTTAACCGATACGACAAGTCTGTGTCTTAACTCACTAGCGACATGTTTTCGCATTCTTCGATCTTTTGAAAATACTAGAATAGTCTCTAATCTGTAATTTTACCGATTGTGTGAAAACTCCCCAGGCTCGTTAATTTATTACACCAGACGTGCGTTTGGTAGACATAAAAAACACCAGTGGCACTTAAATCGAAGATGTTTGAAGGCCAACATCAATTACAAAGTTGAAACGCATTAAAAACCAAAGATTTCGAAAGGTTGTGTCAAAAACGGCAATATATGCTTGGGAGTAGAAAATCCAAGTGTTTCGAATAATTCAATAATGTATTAACAGTAAATTTACAGAAAACGAACATATCAATGCTATTTCATGTCTTACACGAAAGTGGTAACTACTGGGCTGGTGATACCCTCGGAGACGAAACGCCCTCTAACAGTGACATCAACTCAGTGTTTGTAAAATTATCATGTCTATTCCCTTGACATCTCTTAAACAATTACAATTTACCTGTGCTATTATTGCCTACAGCATCTTTTGGACACGTCCACTCGGGTAGTGATGCTAATGCTAAAATGGGTATAACATATGCTTGAGTAGGACCTTGGAAAACTGGTAATCTGTAATAAATGATTTAATTTATTTATGATACCTGAAATAGCCAATATATATATGCATATACTGCAGTTGTAGATACTACTTGAGAAAGATTGTGTATCTTGTAAGCTATTTACTATTTTAGCTTTTTATAATGACTTGCTTTAGAAAAGGATTAATTTTTTTGTGAGTTTAACTACAATAGAGCTCCTTTTGTTGAGCCAAAAGATGTAAATATGAAACAATTACTGATCACCGCACTGTCATCAATAATTAGCAAACATAATACTGTATTGTAAGCTTTAAAAGGTCTAGGCATGATAAGATGTGAAAATATCTAAGTCGGAAAACCAAATACAAATATGACAGTGTATGAAATGTGTCTGTATTTATCAGGTCAATGAGTGCTCAACTCCCCATAAACTCGAGGGAGTGGTGCAAAAGCACAACGCAAGAAAAAACAATAAAAATTATTTATGTGCAGCTATGTCTATGAAAGGGAGTAAATTTTGTTAAAATCATACATTTGATTTGAATGAACGATGGAAATTTACAAAACTGCCAATCACATAACTCCTCATCATTCAAATGCTTTATATCACGATATTTCGGTTCTTTGATTAACATATTTCGAAGAGAAGTGTTGTTGATAATGTTAATGTCACCAATACTAACGTGACCAGCCGGATTATATATGAACGGGGAACTAGCACATGTACAACCAGTAGGTTTAGACTTAAAGTAGTCAATATTTCGATCCTGCAACACGTGTTTATATAATTGAAAACCATACCAAAAGTGTGGTATAGGTATATGATATGATAGGAGGAGACTTGTTTTTTTTTGATAGAACTGATCTATGATGAAGGATATTGCCTAAATGGTGGGGTCTAGACCTTTGTTGGCGAAGGAAAATTTTAGAATAGATCGTTTCTCTGTAACATCTTTCCCAATGTCAACTTGTCTGAAAAGTCTGTGCCTGGCAGTATGCGATATAACAACATTTAAGTTTTTATAGTTTTGAATGTGCATTTGTAACGGCGGTTTTCAAGCATAAGTTGTGCAAAGAATGAAGTTTCGAAATGGGAAGTGAATATAGCTTTGTGCAGATGGGATGAATACTCAACGGCCTTTGTATGATTGGAATAAAGCTTTTCTATATACTAGTAATTGAAAACCATACCAAAGGTGTGGTATAGGTATGAGATATGATAAGAACAGACTGATTTTTTTAATTAGGAATGTATTTTCGTATAATTGGCAAAAGGTCACCAATGGAAACATCATGAAGAGAAGGTGATGTAAAATGACGATGTGTTTGGCTGCTACTAACTCGAGGAGCAGGGTTTAAAATAGTCATCATTTTCACCGAGCTGCAGGAAGGGCTAGATAGAACCTATTTACCATCAATATTGTCATTTCAAATATTATTACGACTTAAGTTCAAACGCCTAATATCTTTGTTCCAAGCTATACCTTAACCTATATTTATCTGATTCTCTTACCATGAAAACTTGGCAAAGCTTTTTGTTCGACTTGTTGAATAAGTGAATTTTGTCTATACTGATGTCGAATGTAATCAGAACAGTAGTCCGAATATAATCGGAACAGTAGTACAAATGTAATCGGAACAGTAGTACGAATGTAATCTGAACAGTAGTACGAATGTTAACAGAACAGTAGTTCTAATTTAATCGGAACAGTAGT